AGAGAAGGTATATACAGAAGGATTACTTTGTTTAGCATGATAAAAAAATTCGTCAAAAGATTGAATGTTCTCAAAAACTCACTTAAGTTTCACTAGTTTACTAAAAAAGATAAAGAGAAAGTTATTTTAATAAATAGAAATAGAATACACACAAAGCTGAACACACAAATCTTTTTTGAACGTATGTCATTGCACAACAAACTGGATGTACCTAGTGTAAGGCTAATGCACTAGTTTGAAAAGTTCATAATATACTGGAGCAATAAAAATTGATAATATTTCTTTAACGAATGAATTTCTACTCAAGAACAAGCACTTGCGGTTTTAAGAGCATGCTAACTTCAAAATTTTCTACAATAGTTATAATGTTAAATATGTTATGTACATTTTCTACAAAAAAGTTTAAAATCATCGATTTTTCTGGTATGAACTATGGTATTTTTAGTTTTCTGTTCTGTTGTTGCCTGTCTAGTCTAATGGCGTTATAATAAGAATGCCCGTCATTTACACGTTATTAAATTAAAGTTTGATGACTAAACTGTTCTATTTTTATTTCTCACAACCATTGAACAGCATGAATACAGCGCAGATTTCAAGGGTTATGCGGTAGGAGTGCATATTGTTATGTACGGGCTCATTTTTTTCATTTCCTAACAGTATTATAAATAGAACAATGCACCACTTAAATTATTAGATTTATGACTATATATGAAATACAAATTAGTTTTCAAATATTACATCCTTTGGAATGTGTCGATAATTGAGAAACTACCCAACAAAAGAAACAACAAACTCTATTGCCTCTATATTATGTAAATCATTGACTACTTTAGAAAATTTCACCTAGTGAATAGAGTATATAGCTTTGAAACAGAAAACATGTTCATTATGACATTATAACAAAAAGCTAAATCTTAGACTGTCCAAGACTAATATTTATTAGTGTTCTTACTAGTGTTCAAAGTAATTTACCAGTTCTATAATTGGTTATTTTTTGAAAGTTCTCCAAGATAGCCTACATGTACATTGTAGACTTTTTCTGAATGCTATTTAAAGACAGAGAGATTAAAGACAACATGATCGAAAGAAACAAAATTAAGTGCGATTAGCACGCAACTATTGAAATTCATATGGTGGACGTTCATCAAAGTAATCTTTTCACACATTAACGAGAATGGTTTGATATTCGTTTGAAGTAGTTAATCATCCAAGAACAGTTTAGAAAACATGACGTATTTTCGATAATTAAATATTTCCTTTCGTCGATCATCGTTATTATTAAATGGCTGGAATGACACAATGTTTCAATTCCTTCATTAAATGCATTATGAGTGATAAAAAAATGAAAAAAATTCATGAACACGTCAGCTAGCTAATTGCACTTAGTTGAAAGAAACCACATCAAAAGGATGACATGTGAAATATTTTTCAGCTATCTAGATACAAAAATAGTCAAAGCAAATAGACGAGAATTAAATAGACGAATTTTAGGATTTTATAGAGACCTAGAGTTATACAAGAAATAAGGCTTTTGCATATTTAACAATAAGTTAAAACAAATTAAGTGGATATTTTGCATGCGTAATATAATTATATTCAACATTCATAGACTATTATAAGTTTTTCAATGTTTATCCACTTATGTGTACCCTGATATATGATATATTGATGAAAAATGTATTTTGATGTAAAAATATACAGAAATGTTCCCTTTCTTTAAAATAAAAGAAAAAACCAATCACAATAAAGGATTTACTATGCGTATAGCAGTTAACTAGCTTTGAAAGATATCTCCCAATCTTACTCTCGTCTAATTGTTGTAATTTTTATCTCTAAAAATATTTGCCTGTGCGCTAACCTCTTTAAATAAAGCCTTACAATTACTGTTATTATTTTTGCTGTCATTTATCACACAAAAAAGGTGATGTTACAACTACATGTGGTTCACGATATTCTTGATTAGAAATTAAAATGCTACGCTTTCATCTTGCTAATTTTGTAGTTATAAAAATACGGATTTTAGCAAGGATTTATTTGATTTGTTTATCTGAATTACTGTATGTGGACAAGCTGTGTAGCTATTCAACTAATTAATCGAATATTGCTTGTTTCATTTAAGAATTTGTTTCCGATGCCAACTGCCAGAAACCTTGTTTAGCATGTATCATTAGATAAAAATTCCAAAACCTCAGCAAAAGAATAAGCTGTCATGCTTAAGTTTTTAAGATTAAGTAAAAAGCCTCAATACCTACAACATATGAATTATATTTCCGTTATTTCATTCAAATCTCATACAGACTGCCTTTAGCAAAACCCAGCAGCAATGAGTGATTTTCTGCGTGCATACATTGTTGGTAACGTTTCAGTTCAAATTGTGTAACTTGCCATCGATTTTGTTATGTTGTTATATATAGAAAGTGTTATTCAACATATTGCAGTCTTCTAAAAATGTTAAGACTATCGTTTGAAAAATAATAAGTATGAATTCCTTTTATTATGATGAAATAAGGCCCTACAAAAATGCAAACAATCTGATAGCTACACTTCGCTACAACGAACACGTGAAAATATATCAACAAATTCACAAATGAAACCTACCAGCCATGGTCATCATGTCAAAAATTAGCTAATGTATCTTTTGACCCTTGGCTGGGAAGTACCTAGATTGTTCTTGATCCCTTTAAAAGACATAGCCGGAAGGCGCCTTTTTAACTACCAGGAAACCTTTATAGAAAGCGATTCATCGTAAATAAAAAGAAAGCAAATAAGTTGAATAAAATTGTTTGAAGTACGATCGAAAATTGTATAGCCAGTTACAACAAAAATTAATAATGTTAAGATTACAAAAACACTATAAAGAGCATCTCATAACGATTGGTTGTTATTTGAGCCGTTTACGAGCTGTAAGCTGTAAAGAACGCTTTTTTGTTTATAAGCTAGTTATTGTGCGAGAGTTTCCATTCATTTTATGTTTCCATTAAGACTTTCAGTAAAACATTGTAAACCATAATATGCTTCTTGTGAAGATAATTGTGCGACACAGAAATTAGCTAGCTTGTAAAATTATGAAAATACTATGACCGAAAAGACTACTTGCAAAAATCAAATCTGTCTGATGTCGCGAAGAGGTGTGAGTTAAGATGAGGCGAACAATAGAACACCTTTTTAATGCTGATATATCCATTATGAGTAAAAATTACGTAATGTATGTTTTCCCGTCATCTTATTTGATAAATTATTTCGCAAAGCGTGGAAACGTACCAATTGTACATATGTCGTCATGACTCGAGGGCAAAAACGTTTTCTTAATGAGAAAAGAATAAATTTTTCATTAATATTGACAACTATAAGACAACTTGTGTGGCATAGGAAATTAAACAAAAAGATGTCTGTTATGTCACTATATCTTATCGATCGTGCCATAACTCATTTATGGCTCATATTTTATTGAAATATTCCATCAGCATATGTTGCTAGAAAAATTTAAGGACATCTGCATTCTCAAATCTAGTAGCATTGCCAGCCTTCAAATTCTGGTCCTAGTTATGCACATTTTCGAACAATATGTGATTAATCATTTGCTTAGAAACCTATTGCTTTTACAATAAGTGATCATTCGTGAAAAATTTGTATGGCAGAGCCAAATTTTCATAACGCAACCAAATTTGCCGCTTGATTACGTTACTGCTCAAATCAAGTGCTTTTTATTACGACAGCTTCTCATAAACTCTCACAAAGGCCACATCGTCCATTTGACAACTTAAAATCCGAATGGTTAAAATCCAGCTCTGAAAAAGTGCAATTTAGAACTTACTAGAACTATAAAGCATGATTGATGAAAGCTGTACAAATGAATCTTTGTAGTTGAACATAAAAATAAATTTAATTAGACTGAAATGACATGGTTCCCCTATGAAAGACGATGGGGGCAAATAATTGGCTAGTTAATTGAATTTAAAAGAAATTTAATTAGATTTAGTTTTTGGCGTATTTATGTTTATGTAAACCATGTAAAACTATAGGCTTGAATTACTTTGTTATTTGCTATTAAGCAGATAATTTTCAACAATATTATTGATTTCATTTTTGTTGACAGTCTTATTGACTTATTAGCAGTTATGAGCAATTACTCGTAAAAAGGAAAGTGAACTTGCAAATACTTATTCTGCATCAGAAAAGTAAAAATACTAAGAAAATAAATTTCGCCTGTAATACGATATACTCATGTATGCATATCAACAATTTTGACCCCGAATATAAAAAGACGTTTGTGTTGAAAAGACATATGGAAAGCAGACTTTGTTAAATACAGATGCTCGAAAAATTAATTTCGGCAATATTTACAGAAATGCCAAAGGGTATAGTAATCAAAGGGAGGAAGTGGGCATGGCAAGAAACTAATTTGGCGCCTGACATTCGCCGTATCTCTAATAGCATTAAAAATATTGTCCTACGCTTGCAAATGCATTGATGGGTTTTACAAGACAGTAAACCGTGATTCTTTGATTTGACACATGTCACATGCAAAGGGAGTTAAATCTGCAATATACTAATTATTTTGTCTGATATAAGTTAATTCATGATTGTGAGCCCAACCAGTGTTGTTTGGAAAATCTCACAACTATAAACAAATACAATTACAAACAAATCAATGTCAAAATATATCAGTAAAACTACAGTGAAGAACTTTCGCTCAAAAGTATTTTCTGAAATTTTTGCGGACTTTGTCACATAACTACAAATAAATTTTAGCAATTATGTGCAACTTTAAACTTAAAATTGATACAGATTTTCCGGCTTTTTTGCAATGTCACCTATCCCATACTGCCACCAGTAATACAGCTGTATTTTCAAGTACCATCAATCAAAACTTAGTTAACTAACCGTCAGTACGTTAAACCTCGTACTGTTTTTTAACACCTCTTTGCCAAATTGTAGCCTCCGTATAAACTGATGCTAACTATTTAATCATTTTTTGGTGTGTCTATCTTCTTTTGTAGAGACTTGAAAAAAAATCAACTTGACGATCTTCCCGACGTGCAGAACATCTTTCCAATACTGGAAAAGTTGTAAGTTTGATCCTATTTTAAGTATCGTAATTCTTGCAATTCACAATTCACGTGTTAACCATAATTCTAGTGAATATTTTAAAGTACGACAATTTTGTACAATTTATTAGTTATCTTCTATGTGACCTAGAGTGAAATGTTGGTAAGACAATATAACGGAACAATGCGTATATCTTTCTTTTTCATCCCATTAAAAATGTCGTTTGTAAAAAATCGTATAGCTATAGAGATGTTAATAGCGGAAAAACGTTTTTTAAATTAAGTAGACTTGTTTTAAAAGGAAATCATGTCTGTGAGAATTTCTGCTTTCGTAATTCATATATAAGGATTATATAAACTAGTCAACAGACGTATTTGGTTCAATAGAAAATCACAATTGCTCATTAGCTCAAAGTTCGTTGGTTTAATAATTTACTTTACACAATCGAAAAAATGCATTTTCTACAAGAACACTAAAACTGTAACAGAAATATATATGTAATTCAAACTCATTGATCATAGATATCGAAACTTATTTAGAATTTCAAATGTATTGTTATAGTTTAATCCTTATTGAAAGATATCTTGTAAGATAGATTATTCAAATGTCATTGAATGATAAGTTAAACGTGATAGGAATAATTGCTAGATAGATTTTTTTTCATTTATGTTGAAATTATCAGTTTGACTGTACCATAAATGGGAAAAGACTGCCGTAAGAATTAAACTTTTTTGATGATGTGCTATATGCATAATTTAATAATCGACCGGGAGGCTCTTTAACAGTTATGTAAAAATATCATCATTTGTGGTAGGAGCAGTGAGTTACACACAAGCAACCGTTGATTCATCTGAAAATGTCATCAGTCTCTTGAATCCTATATACGTAGTTTATCAGTTTATACAAATTGGTGAGCGCTTTGAGGTTTACTGAACAAAAGATTATTGAATTCGCAAAATAAATAAGAAATTAGTGCGCTTGATAGAGTTGTCGAAATGTTTTTGCCATAGAAAAAAAGTGTAGACTCTTTCTGAATGTTGAAATATAGTAAGACAAGGAAAATGCAAGAGCGTACGTGAGTGAAACAAAATGCCACAACAAAAATACCAATTTTAAAAAGAGCCACAATATTAATCGTTATGCAAGATTTTATTTAGCAAAATAGGCAACCAAAGTTTTTTTCATGTATCGAGAAGAAACTGAGAACTCTGAAAGTGAAGAAATGTCATTAGGGACAATTCTAAGTTACCTTATTATAGCAAAAATGTTTAACATAAATGAAAACAGTTGGAATTTTCATTGAGTGAGAAAAGAACATCTTGTTCCTTTTAATGTATATATCTACAAATAAATTAAACAATATTAAAGACTTCCTGGAGAATTTATCAACGTCAATTTGAACTGTAAAAAAGAATATGTATAATGAAACAAGGAAACTCCATAAGAAATACCCTTAAGTATATCCTTTATGAACAAGTCAAATTTGAACATTTCTCTGTATGTAGCTCTGCGCACCATGTATCATTAAGTGAAGCGTATTTTCTCCTGTTAGCGAGAGTTTTGCATGAATATTTCTAGCAACATTGAACAAAGCTGTTTTCCCAGAAAACGTACAATATTGAAATTAAAATAAATTTGAGTACGACACAGTCAGGTGTTTTCATTAACCTCTTCTCTTTTCAGAAAGGTGATTAGTTTAGAAGTGAGGGATAGTGTAAACGTGAACGTTTTCTTGCTTGTTGTATCATATAGTATATATAATAATTATTATTTGCCTCTTTTATGTTAATAATTTTCTAAATTCCATAAGTTAATGTATTCAAAGGAAATAATTTGATCATAAAATGGAACTCATATTATATTTTCTTAAGCATTTTGGCTGCAAAAAATATTTTGATCTTGCTCATGCTTCAAAATGTCGGACAACTTAAGTATAAAGTTTGGTCAATTGACATCCAAATCTTTTACAGGGTATTAGATGGAAACAATTTTGCTAAAATTCCAGATGTCATTGTTTCAAGAATGCCCAATTTGAGGAGTATGTAAGTAAATCAATGGTGAATGTTATTCTGCCAACACTTTGTTTGCAAATGCCTGATTGCAATTTTCAACCAAATTAAGTCAAGCAATTGACTAAGAAATGCTTAATTTGTAGTTGCTCCTTAAGTTTAAAATTGTATTGTTGTTAATCTACTTAGACATTTTTCTTTTATTGTAAATATCTTTGAATTGATGTACACAATAGACCTTCTAATTTATGAATCTGTAAGAATGCAAATTATTTTTATAAAAGAGCATACACAGTCAATAAAATGATTAATTATGTTAAATTCTGTTCATTTTCAACATGTGATGCAGATGTGCAACACATGATATATGTTACATATTTTTATGTTTCTTGTACAACTATGAACTTTGTTTATATTATGGCACATAAAACCTGCATCATTTGTCTCAATAAACATGAATCATTTTATATTTTATAGAACATTAAACGAAAACATTTTCAGTGGCATACCATTTGAAACTTTAGCAAAACTGCCCAATTTGACGACTTTGTAAGTAGTTTCAATCTTAATTTTACAATTTTAATTTTATAGAAATCCCAATTAACAAGGGCACTTTTTTTTAACTACAAAACAACCATTTTACACTTGAATGGAAGTGCAATGAGAATGCAAGTATTGATTTGAGGAAAAATTGCTAGTGGCGCAAAAATTTATTGGCGTTTGTTTAAGACATGGACGTTTTTGCAAGTTAAGTCAATATTGTGGATTTTAACAGAAATCTTCACAACTAACGTAGGCAGTAAGAAAGATGGGGGCACGGGGTGGAGCACATGCCAAACGCCAACTTTTCAAATTTAATATAAAAAGTGTCCTTTTTAAATAAAAAACTGCCCCAAAAAGTTTGTGCCCCCAAACTTTCACTTGCTTCCCACACCTGAACATAAAATAAATTCACTTAAAATTGACGTTCTGCTCAAATGTTTAGATGTTCTCTAATGATTTTTAACTTTTTCCAATGTTTTTAGTCTATATTACATTGGTCTTATCACAAAATGAATAGGAAATTATTATGTATTTATGACAAAAATATTAATAGAAAAAATCTTAACTCATCTAGTCTTAAGTGTTTGTCTAGTCTTAAGTCTAAAGCTCTTATACTATCTCCCTTGCTGTGGTTGCTGACAGAGGCATAGGAAGCAAGTGAAAGTTGGGGGGCATTTAAAAAGGAGACATTTTCTATAAAAAAGGGCACTTTTCAATATCAAATTTACGTGTCCTCCCACTGGTTGCTGAATTCCACAACACAGGCTCCAATATCCCAGATAATGACACTCCATTTTTGCTTCCCACCTTGTAATTATTAAAATGCTAAACAGCAATAATTATTTCATGCAGGTTTATGACTATGGGACTTATACGTCTTATGATGCCTCACAGTTTCGAGAGGGTGAAATTTCTAAAATAACACCATAATATTCCACAGATATTTATTTAACAATAATTTCTTATATTACTTAATTATTTAAGAAAGCCATATTTTGGCGTTATTTTTGATTCAAATATCTCACTGCATACATAACATAACAACTCATTTAAACTTTTTGTTCCTGTTTCTATGGTTAAGTTAAAAATGACATTTTTAAATTTCTTGAAATGTTTGTAGTTGATATAATAAATATTTTTGCATTTAACATAATTTTTAATGATTGAAAATTTTATTTCTCAAACTTTATTAAATTTTGGAGCAAATTTTGAATACTTTTGCGTATCTGTTTGACGTTTCAAACAATAATTGAAATCTATTTTTGTAAAGTCGTATGAAGTTGTAACATTTTTTGTAGGGAAATGAAAGGAAATAATTTGACAGAAATTGGAAAATTTCCCCCCAAAATGTTTCAACACCTGGAAAAATTGTAAGTATACTGAAAGTTCAGTGTAAAAACATACATTTGCATTAATTAATTCTTGTTTCTCCCAAACGTATGTGCGATTTATTTAAATATATATTTTTGACTTCCATTCGATTCCAACTTAGTCCAATTTTGTTGAATATCGCTTTTAGCAATTTTGGAAATGGTTGTAAATCTATAGAAGCAATAAATCTATATTATTGATGTTTTTTTATGTTTGGTTTATTATACAATTTGTAGGGATCTTTCTTCAAATCAATATCTTTCGAATTCTTGGATGAGTAGTTTGCCCAACTTGAAAAGATTGAAAGCTCTGTGAGTATAATACAAATTATTTTAAGTTTTCCCCAAAATTGAAACACTAAATATTCTACCAGTATTCTTAATTTGTTTGTGACAATTTTTTCATATGTATTTCTGTTTTCATTATTTGTTTTAAAGTATTTTTGCAGAAATTTTGTAATAATATGTCAGCCCTTATTAACCTAGCACGAGGTCTTTAGGTGAAATATCGGAACGATGTTTTTTTTGTACAAAACAAGCTATTAGGACGGAGTTTGCACGATAAAAGATCCGATATTTCTCAGTAAAGACCGAGTAAGCAAGGTTATTAAAAAGTTTGTTATTTGGTATTTTTGGACCACAAATGAAGCTTCTGTTCCTCTCGTCCTCACTTTTTTACGGGTTGGCTTTCACTTCTCCAGTGTTTGTTAACAAAAAATTAATTGTTTGAAGTTGTGTGATCTGGATAATTAAACTCGCTTTCCGAGTTTTTTCTTCCACTCATATTCGTTCTCGGTTTTTTGTTTCGCTTTTTTTTCATTTTGCTTCTTGCTTTACAAAGTTTGTTTTCATTTAAATAATCGTAAAATTAGGTGAATTTGACAGCTGATCATCACTGGAAAGTAATGGACCGACAAAAAATGTTTCTGTGCCATCCAAACCGCGCTATTTTTCCGGAAGTGACGTTTGCTTTATAATAACAATAGTTAATTTTTGAAACACAGAGTAGGAAAATTCATGCATCAGAATGATGCATATTCATTTTAAAATTCACAAAACTGCTCAATGTAATATCAATGTAATAGACAAAAGAGAAGATGTATATAAGTGATCTTCCTTATCCACCTTTGACTTCTGATCCACCCATTTCTTATTATTGTATGAGACATGTGCAAGCTACAATTCACAGCTCTTATAGATTAAGGCTCTCACATATTTTATTCTCATTAATTGACTTTTAACTTTACAATTTTTCTTTCTTTTATTTTTAGAAGCCTTCGAGGGACCTCACTTACGAATATTTCAGAATTTGTTTTAAGAGGATTGAATAATCTTAAGACTTTGTAAGTAAAATCAATAAGAGAGTTGTTTAAATAAATGAAACATTCTTATAAATGTTTTTTGGTATTATTATACCATTGTATTTATAAAAATTTCAATGGAGCAAAGAGAGTCTATATTTGCAGTGATTGAAATGATTTGCAGTGTACCTGAAGCATTTTGTGTTTTAACATTTACAATATTTGCGTATTTTATACCAGGGACTTAAAGTCAAGTAAACTTATATCATTTGATGTTCCAAGAAGCAAGTTAGCCAGTCTTACAGACCTGTAAGTTCATGATTTACTAATTATTAATACTAAACGTATTTTTATGCTGTTGCCAAAAATGTATTTGCATAGGAACAAATTTTTGATTCGCTTGTTGTTATATGGCTTGCGCTTCTTTTGCCAAGTTTTGATGCTATAGTTCAATGAAACGTAATGCCTATAACACAATAACATATGGAGTTGTCATTGGAGTAATTTGTGTTTAGTAATTTGTAGAGTGCACAATGGTAAGTTGTCAACGGAAACGGCCAAGAAAAGGACTTACTCTAAGGGACAGACAATAGACAGAACTGCACATTGTCTTAGGGACTGTTTACATGATCCCGGCTAAATGGGATTCAGTAAGGCATAAAATTAATTCGAGGTATTAAAGGGAGGCAAAACTTCAAGCGTAAAATTACAACTGTTTGTTAATCACCACAAGTGATTCATGTTGTAATTCTCAAATAAGGCTAAATTGTTTGTTTTAATTTTAAAAGTTTTGGGCAATTTTTAAATTAGAAAATTCTGAAATTGCTCAAGAAGATTTATCTAATGATGAGTATAGAATTGTTTCCATCTACCAAAATGATTTCACACTTGGCTGAATGCCAACTACCCAACTAACTATAATGCTCATATAATCAGTCCCTTAGAAAGTAATCTTGCTATTTTGGTAATCTTTGAAGTTGCTCTCACCCCCTCCCCCCCCCCCAGTTACAACTTAATTCTCGAACGAGAAGCACAAATAGTTTTAAATAGATGCGTTATCAAGGAATAATATATTATTATAACATATGTAAAAATACATTAGTCCAACTAAATACTATTGCAAAAAGAACTTCACAATGCAACTTAAATAAGCCTCCAATCACAAATCGATTAAGAAGCAAGGTGGCAATACCATCCTTAAATTTTTCATTTCTCACGACGGCTTAAAAAGGACTTCCTGGCTCGTTACTTATGACATACATGGCAAAGCTAGTGAAATGCTTAAAGAGAGTAGCTACATGCCATAATATTTATATTTACACGTTCAGCTGACAGCTGTGCATCAAAGACTTTGTTGAAAACACAAAGTTGTGTGCAATTTTGTAAACAGTGTAGAATTGACTCAATTAAAAATACAAAGTCAAAAGCAAAAACATCAAAAAAATTGCAAATTTCATGTACCGCGGAAGATCGCTAATTTGGGGGCCAACATTTGTATATGCATGTTACAATCCGTATAGAAGACAATGATTTCAAAGGAGCTTAATATCATCAGCTCATTAATCACTTTTTTGCTGATAGCTTATAAACTACATATATCGTATCTGAGAATCTTAGAGGATGCAGTAAACACCTTTATCTTAATAGTGTTTCTATTTGTAGATATTTGAGTGAAAATCCTTTGTCTAAATTACCAACTGCTGTAACATACAGAATGCCAAATTTGAGAACATTGTAAGTTCCTATGATGATGAAGTAGCTTGGTGTTGAATTTTGAAAAATCGTACGAGTCAAATTTATTTTTAAATCATTTTTTATTTTTATTTGTCATATTTGCTTTTCAGTTTTCAGTAGTGTATGATTTATGTTTATATACTGCATTCTTATCAGTTTACTTTATCATCTGAATTTGTTTTTAGACATCTGCCTCCATTAAATATTCCCAATTATGCGTTTAGATCGTCAAAAATCAGAACACTGTAAGTATTTTGATAGGTTTGTAGATCAACCCGTGGATTGATATATTCTCTACAAAAACGCCTTATTTAACGTACATAAAACTTTGTACATTTTTTTACTTCTTACACTTATCTACATCCTTAACGTATTTACTTCGTAAACTTATTTACTTCGTATATTTATTTACTTCGCAAACTTATTTACTTCGCAAACTTATTTACTTCGCAAACTTATTTACTTCGTATACTTTTGTATTTCATATACCTAATTCCTTCAACTAGTTTGATACATGCTTGAGTATTATTTTCTCACTGCTAACACGAAACAACATTTTCTATTGCTTTTTTATCAGAGTTCTAGAAAGAATAGGTAGTGCAAGGAAGCATAATATTGAAGTAAAAGCCTTTGCTGAAATGCCTCGTTTGCGGGAACTGTAAGTACTGGTTTTTTTTATCTCATAACTATGCATAACTCATTTTAAAGTTAGGCAATTTAAATACTTTCTCAGAAAAGGTTTTACATACTTTGATGACTTTGGTGAGTAATACAATTCTGCAAAGTAACCTTTTCAATGTAATTTACTTATCTAAAACGTATAAACAACGTTGCACATTAGAGTGATTTTGCAAACACGACGTTTCTTCTAAGACGTCGTCAAATTTTCGCGAGGGATCTGGGGGTCTAGGACGCCCCCACGTCCTAAAGTATTTATGATTTAGCATACCATTTGTAGGCCTTCGTCAAAGAATAGTATGAAACAAATTTCATCCAATTCAACATTTTTCCTGCTGGATCATGTTTTTCGATCATTTTAACCTAATTTTTGATATCAATAACATAATTCAGTATATTCATTTCAATAAAATTATAAATAAAAGCAAAATCATCGACATGCGTCTTTGTGACTAAAATTGTTTTGACTCGGAGGAAACCCCGGAAATTAGAATAGACCCCGCGTAGTTTATCTGTTTGTTTTTTTTTCGCTTTAGAAAACAAAATATTATTGTTATTTCCTAGTTTGTTTTTTCTCAAATGAGTATATGTAGTCCTATATAATCTTTTAAAAAGCAAATATCAAGGATATTTCCTTATTTTTGTCCAAAAATTAAGTTTGTTTCATCCGTCGTCGATACGACGTCAAATTGTACGTTTTCACGTCGTCGTCGTCCACACGACTGCCGTCGAAGATTGAACCGGAAGTAAAAGGCGCATGCCACGCCATTTTCACGGCGTCTTAGACGAAACGTCGTGTTTGCTAAATCACTGTATTCAATTTGGTATTACGACAGGATCTTTCTTGTGCAATTACTGAATGAGATAGAAAGCATGCGAATGCATTTTATCGTGCAATCTACTAAATTTGCTTTCAAATTTATTCTAACCCGTGAAGAACTGATCTCCTTCCGTAGAATAGAAACTAAAATACAATAGCATCCAACACCTCATTGGAATGATTGAATTCGTTACAATTCATGTCGACTTAGTATTGAAAAAATCCAAATAATTCTCTTGCACCCTATTTTCATAAAGGAAGTAAACCCACAAGGAAATGCCTTGAGCCTGCATTCCTTCTTACTCAAAATTCTTCCAAATAGTTATATTTTCCAGCTCAATTTATGACAAACTATGCTTTGCCATACAGAAAAATTAATCACTATACTATTTGCGTCTTTTGTGATAAGAAGCGTTGTGATTGTTAAATCGGTCTTGATGATGTGATACGTTTCCTTAAGATGACTAAAGTGATGTACGTTTTTAAACCTCGACTTCGTCCTGCATGTGGTCTCAATTCCCAAATCTTCAATAAGGCAAATCATGAAAAAAAATTGAATTTTTACAATTCAATCAATCAAATCACGAATTTTTACAATCGACATGTAAGTGCTGCTGTAGCACAAAACTGATGTAGATAGCTACTACAGAAATACAATGTTAATCCGTCTTTGTTTTGCCTTCTTTAAAACATAAACTACAAGCCGTCTAGCATGATAAAATTATTTGATTTGAGATTTATTTCCCAATCCAGGGAAATTACCGACGTTTCTTTGAAAGAATTTCCAGATTTTACTGGATCCAAGAAAATAGAAAAACTGTAAGTATGTAGCATATGAATGATGATCGTTCTACGTCATCATTGATCGAAATAGTTAATGATAAACATATACAAATTTTTTATGAAACATCCATTGCTTTTTCAGCCTTTTAACATCAACAAACTTATCTAATGTACCAGAGAAACTTTGCAAAGTTTTGAAAAATTTATCGCATTTGTAAGTAATGGTTTTTAGTGTTTTTAAAAGAATGCTGACATGTAGCGATGTAACCAATGGTACACATTTATATTTTTTACAGACAACTTAACCACAACAAAATCAAAGATGTCAAGGCGTTGGAATATTGTACAAAGCTTGAAGAATTGTAAGTTGAATGCTATAGACTGGCATTTTTTATGTACACTTTGTTACTCGTACATTTTAAGTATTGTTACGTAGTTAATTATTTATTGTTACGTTCATAAGTATAATGACCCTGTAAATGTTCCAGTATAAGTATCATATCAAATAATAGATATGTGGCATTTAGCTAAGAGTGATGAAATTTATAACATATCTATTAGTTTAGTTTTAACAAATAAAAACAAAACGCGGACCAAATATTTCTCCTTTTTTAAAGAAGTGCAAAGATGAATTTTGGTGCATATCTAGTCTAAAACAGTTTTCACTTGATAAAATTACAATGACGTACTTCTAATAAGAAAGGATCTTAAGTTTGAAAGAAGTGAATTTATGCTGGGTGAACGTAATAATTTATGCTTGTTTAAAAAAATTCTACAATTTTTATTTTTCATTACAGGCAAGCAAATGACAATAAGATAACAAAACTGCCCAAGCTCTCAAATTGTAAAAACCTCGTTATAATGTATGTGAAATTTTTGCAAACAATATCTCAAGATTGTGCAATTGCTTCTAATTTTCAAGTTTTTTGAGAGTTGTAATTGTCAATGTTTCTCAAAGTGTGCTCTTTCAGTGAGCAAAACATATTTTAAAATGCATAGTTGAGAAATCTAGGGTCTTTGTGATTGTAGGCATTCTAACATGTAGTGTTCTCCATTTTATATTTTTGTGTTCCAAATTGGTAATTCTAAGGAGAAAATTCTTTCCATGAAATATTTGCTGTCGAAATTTACATCCTTAAAACAATCACCTAAAAGTTCATGTTTTTTTAAAAGAATGGTCGACTCTAATGAAATTCAATTCCTGGATCAATCATTGCAAGGATTAAGTCATCTAATTGACTTGTAAGTTTAAATGCTTTATAAAAAGCACTTCTATTTTTGCTTGTTTCGAAAGCATAGCTAACTACCTCTTCCAAAATTTTCCATAATCTTATGACTTTTGGATGCACGCACAACTAGACAAGGCTGGGCTTTTATCTTATATCCGACATTAAAGATTTCAGTGCTATATGTTTACTTTACGTGTATATACTTTATGTAAATGTTTTAACAACGGATTTACAAGCTATTGTTATTTTGATTTCAGCTCAGCCAAGTACAACAAAATCCAAATTATTGCTGAGAATGACTTTCGAGGCCTGGTTAAAATGAATAGTCTGTAAGTTTGGAATTTTGTTGGCTTATCAATTATTGGCAGCATTCATTATTATTTTGAATGTTATGAAAAAACCTTTCTAAACGTTTTTCTAATCATCTGTTTTTGTTGGTGATGAGTTTCATATATTGTCCTTTTGCATTATAGGTTTCTCAGTCATAACCAAATAATATCTATTCATTCCAATGCTTTCTCTGATTTCAAAAATATAAAGAAATTGTAAGATGTATTTTTTATTTTCTTTGTATTGGCTAAAATCTGTAAGCATTTAACAAGATATTTGGTGAATGTACAATTCACTGCAATGGTTGCCTCGAGCTTACCGATTGATTTTTGTGTTTAGACAATTGTCTTACAATAAATTTCCAAATCTCCCAACTCGTGGCCTCGAATTCCTTGAGGAAATATCAGTGAAAGGAAATCATAAACTTAAAGATTTTCCTCCTCCAAGACGTCTTCCTAGAGTGAAAGAACTTGAATTAGAATATGCATACCATTGCTGTGCATTTTTAAATGCTAAACCAAAACAAGATTTGACGAACAATTACACGGTACTTATTCTATTTCGTACTTAAATTCTTCCTTGTGAAATGCTTATAATCGAAGACGTCATTCGAATTTTCTCAGTTTTGAAATATTTTACGGTGAATGTTTGATGTGTAGTCTGTTACTTTGAATGTGTTATGTTAGAGCACATTGTCTCCAGTTTAATGAGTTTCTTTTTTTTTATAGGGTTCAGATCATGATAATACACATTTTGACGAAACGTGGAAGTGGCTTGTTGGCTCAGGAGAGGATCATGAGTCATATTTTTCAGATGATAGTACTGTTCATACGAAGAATGATCATAAACACATCAAGTGCACGCCTGAGCCAGGCCCGTTTGTTCCATGTGATGACCTTATGGGAGACTGGGTTCTACGATTCGGAGTTTGGATCGTGTTTGTTTTAGCTGTTTGCGGAAATTTTACTGTTATCGTTGTAATTCTTGCTAGGCACACTAAACTAGATGTATCTCGTTTCCTGATTAGCAACCTGGCGTTCGCCGATCTCTTTATGGGAATCTACCTAGGACTTCTAGCAGTTGTTGATGCCTCGACGATTGGTAACTTTCATCATTATGGTATTCAATGGCAAAATAGTGCTGGGTGTCGAACAGCCGGTTTCCTTGCCACCCTTTCCAGTGAACTATCAGTCTTTACATTAACCGTGATTACGTTGGAGCGATATATAGCCATTAAGAACGCCATTCGGGTAAATCAGAAGCTTCAGTTAAGAACAGCAATTTTTGTTATGGTAATCGGATGGATATTTGCCATTGTTACCGCAACACTACCCCTGCTTGACGTCAACGACTACGGAAAATTCAGCATTTGTCTACCATTTGACATTGGAAATACAGAATCACTGGTGTTCTTGGTGTTTTTACTTTGCTTTAATGCAGCAGCTTTCATGGTCATTCTCTTCGCCTACATTTTTATGTACTGTTCAATACGTGGATCAAATGCTTGGAACGCAAATGATTTTCGTGTGGCCAAGCGTATGGCTTTGCTGGTTATCACCGACTTCGCTTGTTGGGCTCCTATTGTATTCTTGTCACTCACAGCCACCTTTGGTTCGCCGTTAGTCAGTTTAGCACAAGCAAAAATATTCACTGTTTTTGTGTTTCCACTTAACAGCTGCGCAAATCCTTTTCTCTACGCAATATTTACTTCTAGTTTTAAAAAGGATCTATTGGTAATGTGCAGGAAGGTTGAAGATAAGTATCCTTTCATAAAAATAACGAGACAAAGAATATCATTCAGTCGGCGTAGCTCATATAGCGGAGCAATTTCCGAGAACCCAAACTTACTTCTTCGCGCTCGTAGGTTCTCGGCACCTTTAGTTGCCAGAGCGTTTAGTAATTCTATAACAACAAATGGTAGACAATCAGTTTCGTCACATTCAAATAAAGTCAATTCGGACATAATTCCACAAGAGACTGAGATTAGTGATCTTCTACTGACTGAAAGAGTTACGTCATTGTAAAGGGGATCCTGCTAGACGATAGTAAAGCAAACTATCAATGACGGATTTGCTCAATGGAAAAGAACAAACCTAAAACGACGTCACTATCATCACCAGCTTTTCTTGAGCAATGAAATTACTTAGTCGCTAATGAATGGTAGTTGAATACCCATTTATGTTAAGCCGTAAGTCTGTAATATTCAAATGCAAAACAACTTTCTTAAGTGGTCTTTGTGCACCATGCAGATGTAAAGGCTGCATTCGTCTTTTCTGTCATCTGTAACATTTTAAAGACAAGAAATCAATTTGTAGATGCTCGAAAATTTGGGTAGGGGTAATACCTATGCATTCATTTTCTACCTTATTACTTTATTTCAAAATCAATGGATGCTAGAGATTATCATTACAACCCAGTTTTCTCCTATTTGATTGATGCTGGCTATGGAGTTTTATTTTAATAATAACTAACAGGTACTTAGTGCTTTCTTCTTTTCACAAGATGCCAGGATTATGGCATGGCTAATCACTGCTCTTCATAGCAAAAATCGCAGGGATTAAATTCTTTGAGAAAATTTGCTAAATTGACATAGGCTTGTCCGTCAACTAAGTTTTTTTTTATATGAAGTAATAAGCTATAAAGCGGTTTCCCCTATCGATAAAATGTAGCTATTTTCGTCAACCAGCCCATTCAAGATGCTAGAGAGCGACGCAAAATTCGCTACTCACAACTCTACACGAATTTATGTTCAACATTTTCTTGCTCTTTCCATTTCTTATATTTTGCGAGGACATTCATATTTTCAAATGCTTAAGAAAGGAAATGAAAATAGAGTTTTTTTAAACGCTTGTCAAACAAACTTGCAGACTAATCGTTCAGAACTTAAAATTATACAATACCTATATTTTTTGTAAAAAACAGTGTATTCGTAATGACACATACAATCGCATTATTTCTGTTCATGTAGATTGGAGTATTTTTAGTATTGACTATTAATGTAAAACAATGTAAATAAACTTTGATTGTAAACAAAAATGTAAAACAATGTATTCTTTGTTGTCTATCATTGTTTCCACCGAATATTTCATTGTTTTCATCATTTGAGTGGAGAAAGTCAGTTCAATTTTCTCTGCACATGCACTCTGCGCAAAAGGAAGCTAAGAATGATAATGTTCTCCAGTTGACGGTACCAAAACGTGTGGTCTGACTACGACCATTGATTTCTATTATAATGAAAATCCAACGAAAGAGGAAACTACTCCCAACACCGTCTTGTCTTTCCTTATCCGTAGTTTTGAATACGTTCACTATGTTAAGAATTTATAAAGGTAAAACAACATTACTACTTTTAGTTTTCAATCTTAGTGCTGTTTGGCCGCTGTTGCAGTTTGCAACAATTAAAAAATGGAAATGCAGCTTAATTAAAAAAAAAAGCCAAATAAAATGTTTTATTCAGCTCTGCCTCGAACGCTTATAAGAAAGTAAAAGTTAAAATACACTTTTCCTTCAATTAGGCCTTGATGAAAATAGGAAAGTAAAATAGTAGTGAGGACAGTCACGTGAAAACAGTGAGAATTTGGCTAATAAACAGAGGCTAGTAAACAAAGCTCTTGACAGATTGGCACTAGAAGAGTTTTGGATTGACTAGAACGGAGAAAAGGGGGACTTAGTAAATTCGAAGCATTGCAAAAATCATGAAAATTGGGAAAAAATTGAAAGTGGTGAGGCTGCAGTTGTTTGGATGTGTAATGAAGAAAGAAGAGGATTATGTGGGAAACGCACGTCGTTGTTAAAGATAACAGTGAAAGGAGAGGAAGGCTATGTATGAAGTTGATTATTGTGTTCAGGGAGGATATGAGAAACATAGGAGTGACAGTTATTCTGACTGGATTGATATTATGTGACTAAATGTATACATCTATTAAATTGCCTGTGATCTTGGTTTTGGAAGATCAGAAAGTGTGTACGTGGAAAATGGTCTAAATTCTATCAACTACCTGCAGATAGCATAAAGTTCGACTCGCTTTTTTGTTTAGTAGATGCGTCTTAAAATTGATGGACGGAAATTAAAACAAAACAATACATAACGCAGCTAAAACTAAAGTTAAAATTTTTCTTTTCGCTCTTTAATCATGCACAGCAATTTCATGTAAAATAGAATGTTACCAAACATGATGTTTTTAATTTTTAGATACACCAACTGCTTGAGTTAAGCCTTTCATCATGTGAACGACTTCAATAAACTTGAGAATGTTACACTTTTGCGCTTGTGTTTTTAAAGTCCTTAAAATATTCTTTCTCTCACTTGCACTTTGCGGTTTCTATCTTTCATGCGCCACAATGGTTTTGTCGTTTGTTGTCGACTCTTGAGACAATGACATTTCAGACTCAGAGGCTACAAGTCTCATGCTTGAGTGATATGATGGTGTAATTTCATTTAATAGGGATATTTCTTCACTTTCTTTCCATTGATTGTTGCTAAGGCTTCCTCCAAACAAGGATCTGTGGGTTTTGTTTGATTGCATCGTTAGTTTGACACTTTACTATTTCAAGATTCAAGATAAGTAAATAATAACGCGAGGTTTATGCACTTTGGACAACTGACTAAAATATAGTGAACAATGATCTATTATACACTTATGAAATAATGCATAAGCTGGAGACAATTTTCCATGAAATAAAACACGGGTCTAATTCTTACAATAATCTTAGCAACTTTCTTTCAATCTTCAGTGTTTAAGTTTCATTTACAATCTGTCTTGCAAAATAATTCCAGAACGTCCAGAAAATGCTAGCAGTAATAACTAACAATCACAGTTTGATGCTTATGTTATTAGCTTAACAGAGATTTTGAAATAATTTTGAATGTTCTGATCGAGATATGTTCAATACATAATTGTAACTTACCTTACTGATTGACGCTCGTGATTTGTTTGATTTGTTTGATCATTAAGCATTTGACCAGATTCTTCGTAGAACGGATCACGTGGTGAGTTACGTCTATCATATGGTTTGTAAACATATGATGCTTCTGAAGACCTTCTGCAATATGGCCAGACCTGTTGCGCTGGAGACGGAATTGATGAATTGAGATTATATCTTATGTCATTCATAGAGCCATATCTGGCATGCAATGGTGTTCGTGACCTCATACCTTGGTCGTATGTAGCATTTTTTTCGTGTGCACGTATTTTGCTCAACCTTTTTCTACTGTCGTTACCTTGTAAACTTTTTCTTTTTTTGTTAAGGTCAGTGAAACTTTTGTATGTGGTGCGCATCATATTATTGCCGTTGTTGTCACTAGTAGGATGGGTTGGACACACGTCTTCAGGTTGGTCATCATCATAATCACTGAACTGATACAAATCATTACGTATATTGCTACTGTGCTTATTAGAACCAATAGATTTTCGTCCAAGAGTCGATTGAAACTCATCGCTGAGCTGGTTCATATCTGTAACTGGAAAGTATAACTGTCCAGGACGTATTTCAAATGCCCCTTTGTTATATTTAGCATTACTATCGCTCCCTTTCTTATCAAAATGGGTGGAAGGTCTGTGGCAGTCTATCTCACGGTCTTCTTTCAGCAATATGTTATCTTCATCACCATGGTTACTATTGAAGGATGACCATTTCTCGAAGTTCGACTCAGAAATATCAATTTTTAAGGCTGCACTTAGTCGAATGAGAATCTTTTCTATTGTATTCACTTTCTGCTCAAGCTTTCTATGGTCACCATATATTTTAGCTGTATGAAATTCTTAAGTGGAAAGACAAAATTATGTTGTGAGACAAATTTGAATTTGCATCTATTTTCATATTGACGAGAGAAACTATCTAGCAGAAAATTTTTTTCACAATAAACCATAAATCATTCTATATCAGCCGTGTAATTTCATTGAAACGTAAATAATCAAACAATTTAAACATTCCAAAATCATCCAGCCAGCGTCTAATTTATGGTATTAACTATCACGTATATTTCGGCAAGTAATACATGAATACTTTAAAAACCATGAACGTATAAGTTATCTTTTTGATAAAAAAAATGTCAATAATACCTTCATGAATCTTTGCTATGCTCTCTTTGATGTGATCAAGATCAGATCTCTTGCCCTCACCATACTTTGTAGCAAACCTGTCATGGATCAACTCGTGAATCTCACTTACACTCTCCATTAGCATGTCTGACGCTTTTTGCTCGTCACGATCATTACTGCCCAAAACATCTCGCCGAAAATCAAGTGTTTCTGGGCTACCAAAGTTCAGGATAAAATCATGATATGATTTTTTCCTCTTTTCTGATAATGACTTCTCCAAATAGAGAATCGTTTTAGCACGTTGCATAAGGGCGTTGGCTACAGCGTTCCCATAAACTCTTGTAAAAGTGTCCGATAATAAAGCAATCAATATATTTAAGTTAATTATTGCCATTATAGCTATGTAACTGCCACAAAGTATTCGGGCCATAACTGCATCAGTTTCCAGTAGAGCTTGAAAATCAAAGTCACCAACAATAATCATTTGAAATAGTTCAAAAATCAAAGAAGAAACGTCACTATAACTTCGTACTGGTCTCGGTGAAAGTTCACCAAATGTTATCCAGAAAGCACACGCGTACGGGATTGTAATCACTACAGTCAAAATGGCCCAATTTAAAATATCCTTTGAAATATGTGAAAATATCGCAACAAATATGCCTGCTTTCTCAAAAGGTCTGGCGTATTGCATGATTCTCAACCACAACACAAGCAGAAGTACCGTGATTATTCGAGCATATATTATCTGGGACAGATCACTGTTGATGTTGAAAAATACCAAATGACTAACAATCGCAGCAAGAATAAGGATCAAGGAGAACCAATCAAAATACATCCACGAGTCACTTGATGATATGAGTGGTCTCTGACGGATAGTCTTGATTTCTGATTTTAAATAAGACTCCTCTTGAGGCCATCGTGGATGACAGTGTTTCAAATCATCATTAATCTCAGATATTCTCCACGATATCCATTTCCTTTGACGGTTTCTGTATCTTACAGTTCCTGAAGCAAGAAATTAAACTTAAAATCTCCTTTCAAAATACTGTATAATTCATTTTTATTGTACGTAATATTTAATATGCTATGAATAACAATGTGAAATTATTTATTCTGTCGCAAAGTTGACGTATAATATAAATTACTCAGCGTAATTTTACTTTGAAGGAAAGCAGTTGGCTTTAAAACAGAGTGAATTGCGGCATAATTTTACCACCGTTGACTAGCTGAGTTAATTTCGTAACTTTCACAAATATATCCTTTAAAGTCTCATAAATCTTTCATCTCGTCCATACAGGGGCATGGATATTATAGAACATAAGTATAAGTAGAAAATTAGTATATAAGTAAAACCATTTAAGTAGAACCTTATATAAAAAAGTAAAGTGAATATATACCTGTAACTTGTCGACGTATTTCATCAAGTGTCATTAAACATACAATCATCGATAAAGCAATTCTCCAAGAATTTTTCAACCAAGGAAGGTACAAAGCATTTGCATCTGCTGGTGATGTAACGGCTAGGATTGTCCATAAGACTGCGTAGAGTATATTTATTACAAAGTTGCATATAGCTTCATGACGACCAAATTGTTGCCATTTGACATCAACAAGTCTTTTCATAACAGGATGAAGGATGACATCAAACTCTTGATTATGCACTGCGATCTCGAGGGGAGAGAACGCAGGTGATTTAGGATCTTCCAAAACGTTTCCTTCTAAATAAGCATTTGTTACTTATATTATATCTATAAGCATGTTGTCTATGCTCCATCTCCAAACATTTTAACTATTCATTTACAGGTTGAACCAAATAAAATGATGTACATTATATAAAATAGTTTGGTGCTAAAATTTCCAAGGCGTTACAAATTAACTGTAAATTAGAAAACGAAAATGAACGCCTAAAAAGTTCAACCAATCGTTGAAAAGGCATGGTATAATAAACCAATAATTTCAAAAAAAACTTGTTGGTAGTCCTGACCCACGTTTCTGCATGATCAGCTGTTTGAGTGCTTATTATTTGAGTTATTGCAATCATGTTAAAAAAAATTTGGTAAAAGCGATTAATTGCCTCGTAAAGTTTTTGTGGTGTTTTAAGAGATAATTGATGATTCATACGTCCTGGCTTACGAAACATTTCTCCAATTAAGCACTTACCAAGATAATTCAAAAAAAAGAACTCCTTTCTGTTGATGATACATGTGGAATAAAATTGATTCAGTGCTACGATTGCCACGTCTGGAAGCTTTTCAATTAAGAACGATAATGCGGAAAGGCCTTTGTTGTCATGGACACAAGCTGGAGCACCACGTTGAACAAGAAGTTTTGACGATTTAGCACGATTCATTTCTGCTGCAACCTAAAAATAAATCATTTATAAAATACTTTATGTGGGTCAAATTTATGCTGCTGCAAAATCTATTACTTTTAATTCTATACAAAAAGAAACTATTCTTTCTTTTTGAGGACAAGATGAAAACAAAACCTATTTTATTTTACATTTTTTTTAAGCAAATGTTTATCATCGTATATCAGAGGTTGCCAAGCTACTCAAGTTAGGGCTTTTTTCAGCGATGCAAAGCTTTTATTTGTGTGTTGGGGGTGGGGGGGAAATAGGGCTGTTTTAAAGGTATGCAAATCATTTTTAAGGGGGAAGGCATGAAATGTCATAATACCCTTGTTGTTTTTGTTTGACGTGCACATATATAACTAATAATATTTTCTTGGATGTACGAAGAATATAGAAAATTGCATAGTTGCATAGTTTTGCAAACTAAGCCTTTTTTGAAAGAAAGAGGGCAACTATTTTATTTTGGTATACTAATTGTATTCATGTAAAACATAAACTTAATCTTGCAGCTAAGAGTTTCCTTGAATCACTGTTCAAAGCTTCTGTAATTCTAATATTCAGAATTAAATCATGAATTCCCCACATCCATTCACCAAACAAACGCCTTGCATACACTGCATCAATACCTAATATTAAAAGTAGATCTGGATTTGCTGAAGTTTAAACTAAAACAAAACTGAGCATCAATTCATAGCTCATGTACTCTGTGTTTCCATTAATTTAGCAATGTAATTTAGATTTCCTATGTGAAAGCTATCTTATTTTTGTTACCTGCAGAGGCGTTCTATTTTTCTTATCGCGAGAGTCAATGTTTGCTCCGTATCCTAGCAGCATTTTGATAGATTTGCATGCATCATTTTTGGCAGCAAAATGTATGGGCATTTGCCCTTCACCATGTGTTATTATATTAATGTTGGCTCCATTCTTAATAAGAAATTCAACCATCCTATCATAATCGACCGCAGCGGCAACGTGCAATGGAGAGCGACCAAATTTGTCTTGCTTATTGATGTCAGCACCTGAATTTTTGAAAACATTTATTAAGTTTTGATTGCATCTTATTTTTGCCATGGAAATCTATAGCACAAGCAACTTAATTTCATGAAAAAAAACTTAAAACTATCAATTTTTATACAAATGATTTAGTGCGAAAAAATGTTGGACTGAAAAAACATGGAATCTTTACCATATAATGAGTGAATTAAAGCGAGATCATTCAAGCATATAAAAATGCAAGCTTAACTTGCTTTTTAACTCTTTTTTGGTCTTGAGTTTTGAAAAAAATTTTTCATTTTCCCATGCGACAACGCATTGGGAGGAAGCGTTAATAACAAGAAACGCAGTTTTACCGCGATCAAGCAAGAACATAGCCACATCTAGATTCCATGAGCGAGCTACTTCATGAAACACAGTTTGGCCATTTTTATCTGTACAATCTACATTCGCACCATTGGCTATCAACGATTGCACAAAATTAAAGTCAAATTCGTCCTCGTTACTATTTGAGTTGGCCAAAGACGCAAAATAGTTTAGGAGAGCATGGTCTCGAATTTTCTGTCCTTCTTTTAACCCAGAAATATCTTCTAACGCGCTTTCAAGAACAGCATGTACCGCGACATTCAATCGCTTGCCACCTCCATAATTAAATTAAAATTAATTATTGATTCTATGTGCCAATGATGTGTTCACCACAAAAATTTTGCAATGTTCAATCACCTATAACAATTGTTAACTTTAAAAAAATTTAGTTAGCTACTGTTTACAGCTGATGATGTAAAAATGTAGCAGACTAATTCCATTATTTTATTCCTCTGAATGCATGCATATTTGAGTTCCCCTATATTTTAAAGATGTTTTATTTTAAGATCTTCTATTTCACCATTTAATGTAATTAGTGATGATCTATTTAAGAGTTGCGAAGGCACCATTTTGGCAAGCATTGGAGAAGAACAATTCCTATAATTCATAAAAACTAATAACTAATTAAAAAATTGCTGATAAAGGTCTTTCAAGTATTAAAAGATGTATAGAAAACATGGCTATAAGGCCTCGTAAAAATCCTTTAACAAGAGAAGTAAAATTGCACTAAAGCGTCTTGACTTAAGACTCTCAAATACAAACGAAAAGTTACACAAAATATTCCATTTGTAAAAATCTCCAATTGAATTTCAACTATTTTCTTACTGCCCTGTACTCAAACTTGCTTTCTGTACGATTATTTCCTTTACTCCAGTAGTTACTACTCAACGTCAAAACTTGATTTTTTGGTGTGAATGCACGGATTCAACAAAATGCATGTCTTACCAGGAAGCTCTTCCAACAGCATTTTTTCGTAAGGCTTATGAACCTCTCCAACGCACGATCTTCGCGAATTGTAACCACTCAACTGACTTAAGCGACTACCAGGCTCCTTCCCGTTTTCCATATTGTTCATTTTACTTGTTTATAAACTCAGTTTTGATAAAATCTTCTGGTGAGACGAAACTGAAAATTTAAGGTTCAACTAAAGCCTTCATTTCATTAAAATTTTCACTTTACATTTATTGAGAACAATTTCATGGGCTGTTGAACATTTGAAGCTGCTAAATTAGGAATGTTCAGTGTTTGCCTATAGTATCTGAAAAAACTAAAGAAATTGATCATAATATTGATTTGAAATTTACGTAGCAAGACCAAAATATCTTGGCTGGCTACATTACTGATTACAAATGTATCTTAAATTGAAAATGTATGAGAACTTTTTCAATCAAATATTATTTTATAAATATTTTCTTAATTCTTTATAGACATTAGGCATGCCAAGTCTATCTAATAGAAACACAATTGAAATTTTTGACGCTAATATGCTAATCTTTTCATGTTCAAGCAAATACTCTGTTTTGACAACAGTATTATATTATCATAGTTCTTTGACATTCTTTACAACTAGAAACTTTGCACACACTCTTATCTGGAAGATATTTTTCCATGACAGTCTCTAAAACAAGACAAAATCTTCGTAATGGACTATTTTGAATGAACTTTAATTATTTTTATTTGGCATTGAATTTATCGCTAAAACTATATTGGATCACATCACATATAAGGATTCCGTTTGTTCAATATCAATAATCATGATGCGTCTTGTACAATATTTTTAACGAAATAGCAATTTATGACAAGTGATTTTTCTCTAATTTAAAGAAACCATACTGCGACAAAATTTGATTCACTTTATAAACTCAAACAACTATGTTTCCTATTATTAAGCTCTATACGAAATGACGATGTCGACTGTGTGTGATATTCACAAAAGCTATGAAGTATCTTTTCAATCTTTATTTTATTTTCTGATTCCTTTGGTTTCTACAAAATCAGAATAGCCTGCCGAAGTGCATAATTAAAGACAATAAGACGTATATATTACAATATAAAAAACATTAAACATGTAAATTCCAAAATGTATCCTTTTCAAAAAGATATTTTAAGCTGCTGTTTGTTTGGCAAGTGATGAATGTTTGAAATGAATAACCTGGCTACACGATGGTTCTAAACCAAGATATAATTTAGACACAACTTTGACAGAACTCCATTTATGTTTCTAACGTCTCTTACACAAACAATGTATGATATTTTATCATTTTATCATAAATAGTGGTATACATACTTTATCTCCACAGATTATTGTTCAAATTTTCTTTAGAAATAGAAGGCCGCGATGTTATCCTCCAATTACAGCAAAGAAAAGGAAACAAAAAACAATTTAAATGGAGGATGAGCATTTTTGAAATACGTTTTGTATCAGTATGCACTTATATGTTAGGTATATCTTGCTGCCAATTCCTGTCATAACAGTGCACACATGATATTGGCAGTTAACGCCAAACTTCGAAAATTTTGAAGCAGTAATATTCTCTCAGCAATAAAGAGGCGGATACAGGATTTCATCTAGAGAGAAGTGTCTGGATTTTGGAAATGTCGAGATATAATGTCGTTTTCATTAAAGAACTATCAATATTAACGAATTATTTGACCTCAGGGGGTGGTGCGTATCCCTTCATACCATCTGAAACTGTCCCCCAGCAATATTTACGAAAATAAGAATGAAAAATTATTATGAGCGAGATTGCAAATAAGAACTAAACCTGTCAGCAACAATGGAAGGCATAGCCAATTAAAGCAACGTTGTTCAAAAGACCAACATTTTCATCGAATTCACATGACATTATGTTAAGACGGACAGAGTGTCTGCGTGTGGTTGATCAGGTGTTGGTACAAAATCAATAAGTTGCTCGTAGTGGAAAATAAAGACTGAGAATGCTCTCACTATGAATTGATGTAGCGAAGAAAAGACCAATTCACAATAATTTATAAAAAAGCGCTCGAACAAAATTGCTAAGAAAAAGCGTGAAAATAGATGTACGTGTAGATTCTGCTAGAAGGTACTAGCTATTATAGTCCCATATACTTGGTATAAGTGGCCATTCACCTTAACTACACTATTTAATCCAAGGCCTGGTCATCGTGAGTTACATGCAAGAACTATAATTGTTCACGTCGTCTTGCATTATGTACATTTCCAATTCATTCATTGTTTTGTCATTCAGGATTAGTCTATGCTTCTTTAGTGTTTTAAACTTTTTTTCTATTGCTAGATATTTAACTTTTGAGACTATAATCTACAGAGGAAATAAAATTATGATGAATTCAGAAATATATGAAAACAATAATCATGACAGATTGTCACACAATTTTATAATAACATCATTACATCATAATATTCTTACATGACACATCAATATATGGCACATCAACATATATTTCAGTCAATTCATACTAATGAGATGACTAAATTTTGTCGTTTTGATTCTTTGATGGTATATGTTCGTACATAAACTGATTTTTAAAACCACTTTGCGAATGCTCAGTGCATTAATTATATATATATATGCATAAAGAGCAAGCTATCATTTTAAACTTCTATTTCAAAGCGAGAGTTTAATATTCTTAAACTATTGTTGGATACTTTAGTCTTCACAATGATTTTCTTTGTGTTTGTCTTACACTCGCAATCATTAGTTGGATTTGTAAAGAAACACAAAGTGTACAGTCCAAGTTCGTACTCAGGTGACGTCCCAATTAGCATGTTGTCTGCAAGTGGCGTTCCTTCTTTCCATGTAAACATCACTGAAATTATTTTAGGCTAAAAACAAATAGGGAGCTATTTTCAGCACCTGAACTAAAAGTCTAAAGCTATTAGCTGCTTCGGGGTTTGTGATTAATTGTTGATATTCACCAATACTTTCGTTACTTAAATGTGTATACGCTTGAAAACACGAGATAATTATTATATAGAATAAGCTTAAAAACAATTGCATCATAGTATTACTGCCCAATATCGTAATCTTGAGAACGGTTCAACTTGGTTCATGATTTAATACTGATCTAATAATTTCATACCAATAACTTACGTCATACTGGTAGTAGTTTAAGTTTCCAAAATAGTTCAAGCCTTTTCTCTCCATTAAATAAAACTGGATCCAATTGCGAACAGATAGCTCATTTGGATAGTCAACGTTCTCACCAACAAAAACTTTTTGAAATGCAGTCAAATTGTTGTCGGTCGACTTTCCTTGGTTAAACCACAAATTGCGAAGAGTGTCTTTAAACTGAGCCTATAATGTGGACAAGAAGGATTGTCATGAAATAGGTACATATTTAGCAAAATTTCATTCATAATATAAAAATATTTCCAATAATTACCATATTGGGGTAAATATACGAATTTCTCACAAGGTACCAGTACAATTGTCTAAAAATGTGGGTTTTTACTACAACCGACAACAATTCTTCAATATTCTCTGAAATTGCTGTTTCATCAATTTTCTTTCCATTTGATGGTTGTAAATCCTCCAGAAGTCCTGGAATTTTGTGGAGCAAAAGTTAAATTTTTTTATTTAAAATACTGGTTTATTTAAAAATCTTTTACTTTAAATCATGGTTGAAACGGAAGCCCTTAATTAATGAGTCCAAGCAAATTTTTTGCCAAAAAATCCATGGCTAAAGTGTGACCCATAAAAAAATTTTGTAAAAACACGATCGTTAAGCGAGATTATGAATAAAAATGTCTAAAAATGCATGTAAGAATATGCCCCTTCTCCAATTATCGTTCTGGCTACGTGCCTGCATCCTTTCTACTTTTTAGTTTGCCATAGTTTTTGTAGAATGTTATTGAATAGAAACAGACGCATCAGAACAATATGATAATGAAGACAACAAAAGTTTTGTATGAAAAATACTAAATGAAATTAAAGTGATGACGCTGGAGTACAGTAATACCATCTTACTAATAAAAGCTTTGTAAGTACGTCTCTTCTTCAGCTTAGTTAAGTTGACAAAACTAAATAGCGGTCTAGTTGCTTTGTCCAGAGTGGAGTTGTTACTAATTTTTGACTGCAAAAGAATATCATAATGAAATCCTTGAACAGCTCTCTTATTGTCCAGTCCCCACAAGCGCTGACAAATAGTATCGCTGTCACTGATTTTACCCAATCTTCCATGACGCCAATACCAATAGTAACTAAAACAATAAATATTTTTGTTTTGAAGCAAAGTCAGTCTGCAGATGTAGCTTGACTACATAAATTTTGAATCATTACGATGACTTTTTTCATAAATTGATTGTTTTAAATCAGTGAACGCCGAAATATATTTGTAAATCTGAAGTAAAAAGTTGGACTAGCTTTGCTACTGCGTCCACCCATATCATGATTCTTGTATATTTATCTGGCATGCAAGCCGTGACGATATGTTTACCGTGGTTAAAAAAGTCTTCCCCCATTAAGACAATTTTTGTGATAAATATATTTATGTTGCTGTGCGTCATTTGTATTAATTTGAGATTTAATGTGTAAGCTCTCAATTGTTTGGAATTACGTAAATTTTTACTAGTTCAATAAAGGATTTTGAATGACATTAAACACTCAGCACTGCAGTCGTGCGTGATATTTAACTGAAATTTACTTCATCGTCTAGGATAAAAATCCGAGACAAGCAGCAGCGCAGGTAGGCCAACCCATTATTTCTTTTTGCTATGCAAATAATTATGCCTGCCAATTGGAAAATTAACAATGTTTGCAAAAAAAACGCAAATGCAAAAATTTGTTAAGCAAAGCTTAATTACTTACTACCAATTGAACCAGTTCCATCCGCCAATTCTTAAGCTCCATTTTGCTTTTGAATTGCACTGTAAAATGTTTTTTGTCAAAATGAGTAGAAAGAATACCAGAAAAAGTGATGCAAGCGAGTCATTTCAATAAGAGATCTGCAGTATTTTCCAACTCTGAAATCTTATGTGTATACACCGTACTATCGAGGAGACTATACATCAGCATGAGGCAAATGAAAGATGACCTATAACAGATGCTCTTCGAGCAAAAATTAAATTTTGCAAAGCGCAAGGTCTCATTGGTCAAACGGTGACACACATGCAGGTAAAAAACATTGTGTGTTACCGTGATGAAAAGTTTATCGGGAGAGTACAGTAATTTAGCGGTTATAGATGGGTGTAGATAAAAAGCGGGCGCAGACGACGGACGCGGACGGCGGACGGCGATGTAAGACGAACGTCTGTTTGTACGAGCTTTATCTTTCAGGATATTTTTTGACCTCATTATTTAAAGCAATTAAACATGCATATTTCAATTTTCAGTCAGTCATATAGAGTGTAACGCAATGAAACCTCACGTACTGATTGACCTGTTATGTTATGCATGACAACCTATTTCATCTTCGCTGGAATCAGTCGATTCATAACCAATTTTTACAATGTCCGAGTACAAACGTTTGGACATGATGTACAATCGATGTGATTAAAGTATACTTTCAAGCTGTAACTGACGCACTGACTAACTTGCAACTGCTTCTAACCTCAGCTTTCAAAAGGAAGTTCAAGTTGAAAACTGCAATATACGTACTGCTTTGCCAAATGACAAGTTGACGGAAATCATTATCAGTGCAGTAAATATGAACACGCTCACGCACGTAAGGCCAAAATGAGTGAAATGCCATTGACAAAACACGAAAAAAATACAATGAGGTTTCATTGCGTTACACTCTATATGACTGACTGAAAATTGAAATATGCATGTTTAATTGCTTTAAATGATGAGGTCAAAAAATATATCCTCAAAGATAAAGCTCGTACAAACAGACGTTCGTCTTACATCTGCGTCCGCCGTCCGCGTCCGCGTCCGTCGTCCGCGCCTGTTTTTTATCTACCCCGTTATAGATGTATATAGTGAGGATCTTTGATGCGCAATAAAAATGTGCATCAATGTATGCTGCAATACTCTTTATTTAAAAACTCACAGCATCTTTTATGATTCGTCAACTGCTAAGATCAACTGAAAAACCTATATTTTACAGAGTCTTAATTTCTAATATTATGAATATACAACATGCTCAAATGTAGCTAATACATAATTATTTGTATTGAAAAATTGTGGCTAGCTTTTTTTCTTCACAGATCAGAGAATTATTAGATGACATCGGACGGATTATAACAGGAACCAATAACTGATAAAACTAAATAAAATCAAAATCTTTAGCAATGCCTTTGAATTTTAGCAAGTCATATGTGCTTTTCCCAAATGCTAAGGTGGCCATCAAACTCTTAAAAATAAAACGCATGTGAGCGGGTATATTTAAATTTGAGCGGTAAATAAAACCAGAAAACAACTAATTTTATACACAACATAAAATGCAATTGATTGCAATGTACTTTTGAAATAAAGTTGCCCATATTTTTTTACAAAGCTTTAATCTTTAAGCAGAATTTTGCATTTAGAACTCGACTGGTCTCCTTTCCACACGGAATGGTTTATCTAGTGGCAAAACTCCACTGTCTGCAATGGCACATTCCGTCAGAGGTTTGTCTTCAAAACCAACTTCCATGTTTTCGACTTTTTTCACCACATCCTTGAAAACAGATTGTTGTATTTAGTCAAATTTTCATCGAATTTAATTTCATTAATGTATTTCGTTAAAGATAGTAAGTATTTTAATGTTTGAATAAAACAACCAAATTAAATTAGTCAAATAAATTGGTAAATTTAACCATTTTATTGTTTGTTTTTTGACCAATTGTTCTTCTCAGGTGCATTCAAATAACCATTTTTTTTTCAATTTTGACCAATCTATTTTTACTGTGTAAGAAGCTATAACATGAATGGAACGAAATAAAGAGTCAGTTTTGTAATTAAGTGGATTCAGCTCTATGTGGAACTTTACAACGCATTTTATTTTTGCTATAATTTTAACTGTGCACTCAAATTTTTGAGATCAATTATAACTCTTCTCAGTCCCACTGAAGAAGCTCAGATCAGAAAAACTAATAATTACATACAAATCTACTTAGCTCCAAATTTTATTACAAATGATAAAATATTTTCATAATACACGCAGTTCAATACTGTAAGACACAAAACTTTTGCATGTAGCTGCCTATCAAAAAAAAGAAGAAAGCTACACAACTAAATACTTGCCATTCCCTGAAGAACGATTCCAAACACAACATGACGATCGTTTAGCCAGGGAGTGTTAACTGTGAATATAGCAAACATAGAGCCATTTGAATCTTTTCCAAAATTTGCCATATTTATCCAGCCAGCACCATAGTGATGAAGCTTGAAATTCTCGTCATCAAATATTTCACCATATACACTTATTCCTATAAATACAAGACATTAAATTAATGTGATAATAGATATTACTATCAATGCAGCAGTTCACTTTTTGAAACAACCATTAACCTTCTCTTTCATACAGCAAATTGTCAGAAGTCATGTCATAACACAAATCAGTGACTACAGAGATTACCAGGCAAAAAGAACTGAAGCATTTTTTCAAATATAATACATACATAGACATTTTATAAATGTTTACACCATGAGTCTATCTGATTTTTTGATGCAGTCTGTAACTTAAGAAATCTGATTCTCTAATTAAAGATGACAGTTATTATTGTTTTTCAAGCAATGATTCAAAGCATCCGAAGCAGTGGAAAGGTGAGCTAGGCACATTTCTTTTGTAAAATGTGCTCCCCCCAAACACTTTTATGCTCCTTCCGAGGTCTTCGCACTGATTTATTTTGACAGCAAAAAGGAAAAAAAACTATGTTCTAGCTACATCACACACAAATTTGATGACTTATATTAATTAAATAAAGAATTTACAAACAAATTCATCCAATGAAAAATGGCATGACTTGATCATTTTGCTTAGTGAAGTGTTATATGTAGCCTGGCAGTTTTAAAACAATCAGAGAGATGACCATGGTCTTTTGACGAATAGAGTTTACCAAAAATGGAAGTTTTAAAACTAACATTTTTTGTTAGAAACTTTTGAGGTAGTCAGATATTTACCGAGAACACAACAACTCCCTTCCACCCACTCCTTCAATAAACGCACACTTCGAGGTATAGCAGTATACATTACTGAACTGTAATATAAACTGGAACGCTATCTCTAAAATTAGTGTTAAGTCAAATGACGTATTTTATTGTGATCATTATTATCTATTACAAATATAAATGTTAAAAAAACTGAATCAAATATGACTAAAATCAGTGTTTAAAAATATCCATGATAAAGGGACAGTCAAATGTAAAGACAACTTTCCCAATAACCTAGGTCAATATTTAAAGTATGTTCGCGAGTTGAGGCAGATCGACTTCCTCGTATCGCAGTAATTGCTGACCTAATCAGTGCGAAAGACAGTTTACAACGCATCCACGCTAGCGTGATGCCATATTGCAGCTTTCTCTTTTGTGCCAGCAGATCAGCTAGCAGTTTATAAGCAATTGCAGTCTCTTTCCCCATACCACCTGATGTTGAAAAGACCAGTGGTGTAAAAGCAGCATATTCAATCTCTCTTACTCGATCACCATATTCCCTTTTCTTAGCCATCTTATGCTGACGATAGAGTGCAGGTAGATTGGCGTTTTGGTAGCTCGACGCGTTTGGGTGAAATACCCTTACATCAAAAAATGCATCTTGCTGTCTAGACCAAAAACCTTTAGCACGAATATCTAGTCTCGCTTCTTCTTGTCTATTGCCTGTACGAGTTAATATCACTTCCCCAGAAAGAGGTTGTAATTGTGGTTCTTTCACAACTGTCGAGCAAACTTCTGCCATCCACTGTGCTGTTATATCTCGAACTACATTATGTCTCACTATTGGTAAACCACCATGAGGACATATCATCGCGTGATCGGCTGCAAAAGCCTTTCCACAAATGCAGTGCAGAGGGGTATTTTTCAATTGCCATCCATAACGTAAACTTAATGCATCTCAAAATTCCCCTTTGTTCAAATTAAAGCCTTGATCTTGCAATGGAAGTACACTTAACCATGATGACGATCCTTTTTCGCTCAGTATATCTAGCTTCCTTTGCATTGTTGGCGTAGAACTATCTCTTATTTCCTGGATCATATCATCCACTTTCTTCTTCTTTTGCTCTCGTAAAGTCATTTTGATTGACTGTAACTGAGGTTTATGAAGTATCTCTTTCTGTTGAACAATCATGTCTTTCAAGCATTGGCTGATCTTTTTGGAAGCAAGATATTCTTCATTTGCACTTTTAACTGGGTTGATAATATTTAGACCACCAAATCGTATAGGAAGTGAAAGGAGTGTTCGCTCATCTGGATTGCATTGGTTTCTTCCAGTGAGTGATGGTATAAATGTCTGCGAAATTGCATCTTCCAGAGGTTGAAATAACTCACTGATGTTCTCAACTGTTCGCATTATATAGCGCCACTTTCCCATTATACAATGAAAAAATGCCGCAAACGCTGATTGGGGATAACGTTTTGCAACCTTTGAAAGACTTTCAATTTCTTCCACAAATACCCTAATCTTTCTTGCCCTATACTCATGGACGAACAAATTGGAGCCAATTGCTGATCCCAACATTCCATGGCCTTCAGTTGTTATATTAATTTCTGTTCCTCCAAAATGGTTTATCGCTTCTTCCAAGTGCTGTGACTTAACAACAAGATACGTTTTACTTCCCTTTGGAAAATAACCCATCATTGGCCCAATGTCAGATATGTTTTGCCACCATCTTCTTAAAGACTTTATTTTCCCATCACATGTAGCATCATCAGCAAACCACACTTGCTTGACAGTTGGTTCTTCTGATCTAAGCCTACGAATCAAAGGTGTAACTGCAAGTGCATACATTGCCATTGCGAGCGGATCCCCTTGTGTAATCCCTTCTGCTGACTGAATTTCTCCTCCTCCAGTAACAAACAGCCTAACTGGCACTTGATAGGTATTATTTAGTACAGTTGATATTGAGGGACAAATCATTGCAATGTTATGTAGTGCTGCTTGCCGATTGATAGTGTTAAAAGCATTGGTAGCATCAACTAGTAGTACAGCTTGTGTTTCATCTGATGACATGATCTCTAAAATTAGTGCCTATTTTAAAGCCAGTTATGATGTAATCATACATACGTTTTCACGTTTATTACCAAATCTCACGAGGTAAAACTTTTCATGGTAATTTTTACTACTGCATTTTATGTATATCGCTGTTTATTTTCCAAAACAATATTATTAAATCTGAAACTCAGAAAAACAAGGTTCATTTTCATCTTTAAGATGGCGGCGTTATTAGCGTTTCAGTTGATATTACAGTTCACTGAGCTATGTCGCTGGCAATGACGAGTTACTATAAATAGGAGCAGATACTTTAATAAAAAATAAAATAAATTTAAATACTTACGCCCTCTTCCATCACCACGCAAGATATCTCCACCTAAAATAAATTTTAAGCCAATTATTGATCGTTATAGGTACTTCACGTTAGTCAAAATGAAAAGTTGTGCAAAAATGCAGGAACGTATGTACGTAAGTGTTAATTGCGGCAATTTGGTTATTTGGTTCTGCAAGATTTATAATCGGGGAAGGAGAAAGGGTCAATATTGATGCATGCATGCATGACTTTTTCCTACGAAGTCCATTATTTTTTACAAAACTCAACAAGAAATCTGATCAGAAATGTTTTCTCGAGGTATTTTATGTTCTTATTGGGCACACTTTTGTGATGAGCTGTCAATACTCTCCAAATCAATAAAGATTATCATAACATCCTACCAAAATGTATCAAATTTTTCTGCAAAGTTCTTTGTGAAAATATTCTACACCTTCCAGCATACATAAGATTATTTCATGATTTTGACATGAAAAATTTAGGGTATCCAGATCTTGTGAATTACAATCTTGGTAAACTTACACATAGATCGTATCGTTATACTGAAAAAGGAGTACAGAATTTTAAAACGCAACTTGACTTTATATCCATACCCATAGTAATGGGAATTTGATTTGTTGTTGCATGTGAGAACTTTTATTTGACTAAAAAGCAAGAGCTGTGTAATCTTTTTTGTAGTTGGATCAGTAAATTGTATGTTAATTATTTAAATATATAGCCAAGAAAATTTTTTATGCTTGAAGTAGAGTGGAAGTCGACTAAAAGACGTGACCTTTCTAAAATGTGAAACAAATGAAAATGATTTTTACATGCTTTAAATTTAGCATCATGATTTTTTTAAGAAAATTTCTTCTTTTCTTGCAATGACTTAGTCTCAAATTTTTTCATTGCTATTACACTAATCACTCCTAACCCAGTTATATAATGCCTTATATTGTCAACAATTTTGATATATGATTGTTGATCGCTATGAATATATTATCATACCTTGAATAAGAAAGTTTTTAACCACTCGATGGAAAATACTCCCTTTGAAACCAAATCCTTTCTAAATAAATAGCAACTTGAATAAATATGAAATGTTTGGGCAGCCTAAACACAAGATATAAGTAGTTTAGAATTATATAAACTGCTTGAATCATGGGTCTGGTCAGTCTTTTTTGAACTTAAAGTTTAGACAAAGTGATTCGGTAACACAATCAAAGAAAACATAAATTCTATTTTTCATACGGTATTCAATGTTCAACTAGATCAATTGTTGACAAAAAACTACATGTAATTTTTAAATTGAGTCTAACCCTTTACCATGGGCATGCGAGGAAACCTTTTTGATGGAGGTAGTTGGGAAAATTTCAATCTTAAATGACCTAATTTACCCAAGTTTTCAGCAAGTAATGCCAACTGGCTTTGTCTGCCCACTTTTGGGGGTTACCCCCCGTCAAGTACGCCCATGCCCTTCATATGGCAGATCAGGCGATTAGCAATAACGACCAAACGACATGTGCACAAAAAATTTTCAAAAACTTTGCAAAATAAAGGGTTAAATGTAGTAACGAAGCTATTTTTCACCTCATGAGTTGCTAAGGCAACGAAATTTCTCACAGTTTTTGGAACTACTTGACCAAACAATCCGATAACGATGCGACCAGCTTTTTCACCTCCGATTGTCACATCTAGAAAAACCTACCAAGTAAAGAAAACCACAAGTATTAATCATTTCATTTCAACATACACATTTTAATTATTTTTCTTACAACCAAATACCAAAATGCAAATTGAGTAACAAAGCCAAGAAATGTCTTATTAACAGTACAACGCAGCTACGTCCTCGTACATTCAATAACTTATAACAAAATAATTATTTTTTATTATGAACTATACTTCATTTCTTAAATTTTTGAGATTGGAGGAAATTAGGCTAATATTGCACTGTTACACCTGTTTATTTTCAACATAAAATCTATGTCATTAATTGAAACAGATTTCGTCAAAGCCTGTTTATTTCAGGCTATAACAAAAAACTTATATTAAAATTCAATGGCATAGTATAGTAGCCAAATTATAAACTTCTGCTGTACAAATTCCTTTTTGTTTTTGTCAAAACACTACATTCTTAAGAATGGAATGATTGTACTCTGTAGCCTGATAATTACAGAGCAGGAATAAATTTGAGAGCTGGTGCTGTGTGTGGACATTCATACAGCTAATATCAAGGTTTAGGCAAAATGAGTATTGAAAGTGGAACAATTACAGAAAAATTAGGAAGCGTAGTGACTGCAAACTTGAAGAAAAGTAACCATAAGAGTAACATCCATAACGCAAACAGTTTATCGTTGTTTGAAAAACAAGGGAAACAGCGTTGGAAATAATTGTTTGAGTCAATACTTCTTCGATCATAGCTACCTTATCTGTGACCATAGGACCAAGGTGAGATGCAGCAAACAAGCATTTGCTGATTGCCACTAAGGTGAACACAGCTCTCCAGATTATTTTAGACATGTTGAAGAAATATCGAGCAGTTTATTTCAAGTTATGAACAGTATCATACTGTTTCACGTCTGTGTATGAAGTGTCACATTTCATTTATATGTTGTAACCTTTGACCGGGAAAAGCAACGAAATTGGCAATAAAATTTGAGAAGCGTTATATGAGTGAACAATTTGTCGTGAGATTATGAGCACCAGATTTTTTACCGATTGGCTAATCATCGTTAGCTTAGTTGATTCCAGTCTACTTGATTATAGTCAGTTTGGTTATATGATTTTTCATGAACGTTTGGCAATCTTTACCCTTACCCGAGCCTTTACCTTCGGGTTAAACATTTTGCGAAAGATGCGTGTTACATGGGAGTCAGTCTCAACCAATTTTGAAGTCATCGTTCTCTGTAGTACTAACAACTTAGTTTTATTAGCAAGAATTAGAAAGTCGAAGTGTGACCGATTTGCCTCCATGTATTATCATGCATTAGTATCTATATATAGTTTGAAATTGACTATGGAGAATTTCATATCAAAGTATCATTTACAGTCATAATATACCTGACTACTCCAAAACAAAGATAAGCCGCGTTCTTCTTCTGCAGAATAATGCGCAGTCTTCGACCAAATGTCTTTTTCTAGTCGAGAGATGATACCAGTTTTGACCTCCAAGCGTGCTTTACATTGATTTCAATTAGCAATTAAATTATATACAATATTTGAAAAAATCACTTTTCCTGATATTGGTATGTTTCTTTTATTAATCATTCTCGTAGATGATTAAAATACCAAGACACAGTCCAGGAAATGAAATGTTCTGTTAACGAAACAACGTGAGGAGTTTCTGTTGTTTTCCATATTGCTCATATGGTCTATTGTCGGATTGACTTTGACTTGACATATCAAATATCGAAATGAAAAGAAATATGTCCACAGATTTGAACTTTGTTGCCTTCTTAATGGGAATAAAGATCAAACAACTTTAAGAAATAATTGAATTGCCGAACGTGTTGTTTCATAGGTATAGTTGTTGAGTAGCTATTGCATGTATGCGTAAATACTGCTAGATTATAAATTTTACGATCAGTATTCATTTGAATCGTGCACTAGGATTAAACAATACATCCATAAAATTGATGATTAACGAGTCCGTAAATGTTTGACTGTGATACTGCATGGAACAGAACTCTAAAGAGCAACACTATATAGCTGTGGAAGATTCCAGAGCAAGCGTGTTTTGACCTTACAATAATAATAATACAATTACAATTTTACAAATTCTTTTCAATACTAATATGATTAACAGGATAAAAAATCAAGGCTAGTCTAAATGTCTAGTAATTATCTTCGCTCTGTGAAATAAATATTTCACAGCTAGGAATATATTTATACGTTTGTAATTTGTTTACATATGATTAAAAAGAAGGAATACAATTATCTTTATGCACCAATGCATAATATCATAAAAATTACCTTGACCAGCAACGAAACGTTCGAAAGCTGCAATTATTCGCACGAGCCAAACACGAAATTCAACACGTCTCTTATCACTTGTCAACTACGTTTAAAGTATACCGTGTAAGGAATTTTGATGGAATTTTACACAGTAAACAGTCTTTTTCAAACGTCCGGATGTGATATTGATTTGTTAAGCTCTTATGTTATTAATGATTCAGTTCTATACTAAATATGGTCTGCTGAGCTACCATATAGATTTGACTAAAGAGCCACGAATAAGAAACTTTTATCGATACAGTTTAGACGATCGTCTGTGTGACTGTGTCAGTCGATATTTAATTTTAAAGATAACGTCTTTTTGAGAGCTGGTTGCACCATACTCAAGTCTCAATTGTGTTTATCATTTGTAATCCCACTAATGTTGACGGAAAAAAGGAAATTCTTTTATATATGTGCTGGGTTATAGAGCTATGAATGCGATATATCAAAGATATTTTTTTATAATAATCGCTTTAGCTTTGAAGAATGGTCAATGCTGTCTGCAGCCTCCTAAGAATAAAGGTAAAGTAGAAGTATTAAACTTCACTTTATGTGGTAATATTTACATTGCTCTAAGGAAATGACAATAATGACGTTTATAGACGTTTAGTTGCACTGCTGAGAAATGCACACCACGATTCATTCGTCCAAGAAAAGCACATATGTCGTTCACTTTGATAAATACTGTCAAGTTGAAAAAGATGCATATAGCATAATTTATGATGAAACTGGATTCAGAAACAGACTGTTGATCGTTTTTTATCGCGTGATTGAACAAGTAAATTAATATGCTTGTTAGCTGTTACTGTTTTGATCTAAGCCTACATTACGAACGGTTGTGTATAACGAGACCAGTTGACACAATACACACAGTTTTCATTTTAATATTCGGTGCAATTTCTAAATTTTTTATTTTTGTGTGTGTGGGTTTCAGTGTTTGTCTTCATGCAATTCATTATTTAACAGCATATAATATAAATATGGTATATAGATAAGATATTTGTAGCTCAAACTAATCATAAATGTAAAAAGTTTGTCCTATACACTTTTTCTTTTTTTTCTGAGTTTTTAACCAAAAATTTTCAACCCATGCAAGTTTTGGCAACGTCAACAAATAATCAGAATGATATTTTCTCGTTCGCGTGCTCATCTGTCAACACGCAAAGAAGCGACTTTTACGAACGTCATTTTGTCGCTAAATTACGTAACCAAACACTTTTCAATTTTTCAAAGCAATAAAGGATCAAAATGTGCAAACCACATACAACTATATAGCATATTGTGTTCAGGTTTAAAAGTAATTCTCTTCATCACTAATTATCTTTCGTGTGTATAATGATAATGAAGACATACACCATGGACTCCTAGACGTGTAAAAAGGCTTGTGTACGTTGTCACAGACATAAATTGCCAGCTGACATATAGATGACAATTGGTTCGTCAAAATGATAAAAAAACTTTCCTGAAATGTTACATTTATAGTATGCTGGCACTATCTAAACAACGCGGTTTGAAAAAGCACTGTTATTGAAGAATGAGGAATGCATAATATCACCATTTTCGGAGATACTGCCTATATATATCAATGATAGATGTGTTCCTTCTTGTTCAAATTTGAACCAGGATTATTTTATATTCAACAAAGGCCTTCTTGGTCAGTCATCAATAAAATTCTTATTTTTTTGACAAGCTTCTTTTTTTTATGCAATCTCTATCATTTCCTCAATCTTTATGTATTTCATCAATTTTGTGATTATAATCACAAATGTTTAGTTATGAATATGGAGAAGATGATTTTTTTTCTAGAGTGGCAAAAAAAGTTTATATTTGAAGCTCTTCCTTCAGTGAATGTCAGCTATGGTGAAAGACTTCAATTGAGATGCATTGTGAATTTGACAAAAAATATAACATACTTCAAATTGTCATCAAGAATGAATAAACAATTGAACACAACTTGTCACATAAAAGACCTGAAAAGTGGAATTTGCACTTTTACAATAAAACACATTCAGCCATGGGATATTGGAAAGTATGACTGTATAAGCATTCATGAACCTTATATCTGCTATAGCAGATCTTTGGAGATTCGAAAAGCTGACATCAAGCCGACTCAGAAAAGTGTTGGAACTCAAGTTGGAACATCAGAAGGAACAGCAAAAAATGTTTTACTAAAAACATTATCAGGTATTTAAAAAACTAATTTTTGAGTTCCAACACTTGTATTTGCAAAAAATAATACTTGACAGATCTAGGCTAGTCAAAATTGTTACAGCAACTAACTTCAGATGCATTTACATTTTCGAGCCCTGTAGCACTATAAATTTAATGCTTTAATTGCTACAATCAGCATCATAGCAACAGAGGGAGGGAGGGGGTGGCTAATGGCACCAAGACCCCCAACTTTAAAAATCTGACTAATGTTCCTTTTTCTGTGAGGTATATAGCCTTTTTCGTGGCGAAAAGATTTTTAAATAAGCTGTGCATTGAGGAAAGTGTCTTCAATAAGTTTATCAATGGATGCCAATGCAGCAATTAGATTTGACATCAAATCAGTAAACTAAGTAAACTAGATACTAAGTTGTGCCTATAGTGACATGGAGGTGTGGGGGGTTCTGTGATGGTACAAAGGTGATTTAGATTGGTAGGTCTGGTGATCTGATCCAGGTAAGGGAATTCTAGAAAAAGTGTATTGCAACTACATGAAACTAATCTAGAAAAAATCATTGGAACGAACTTTATTTTTCTATGAATCAAAATTGCAAATCACACGTTTAAATCCACTTAAAGGAAAGGAGCAGTGTCTTAAGGACTATGAAAATTTAGCTTCCCCACGAGCCAAACTAGAACATTAAGTCAAGGGGAGGGGGGTGAATATTCATATATTCAGCTATGCTTGATTGATTTGGTGAGTTAGTATTAACATTTACCCACCCCCTTCTAACATTCATGGAAGGGATTTGTTTACTTCATTACTTTTTTTGTTTGTTGTATGTATAATTGCTGCTTCCATTTACTATCATGCATTTGCTAAAAGATCCCATTCTGTATGCAAAGTTTTCCAAAAGTTGTTTAATACTCACAATCTATCAAAAGTTGCTTCAACTATAAACTTTTGCATTATATGCACAAACAAATAAGAGATTCAATTTTTAATTAGACAGTCGCAATCGAATTTTTCAAAAAAGAACGCAGACTAAGTCTTTTTTTCAAAATTTTAACAATAAAGAACTTTCATATTGGTCTCAATGAGTCATATTAGCATGGTAAGGCATTTGAACATTATGAATGATATATGTAAACTTTAAATAGCCATTTTACCAGGCAAGTACCCTTCGAAATTCATCCCTCCCCCCCAAAAAAAAAATTAGTCGGTCTTCCTACGCCCCTGTAACAAATACTATTGTTTCGAAGATATTTAATACAAAAATTATGCTGAAATAATTTATTACTTATTTTTCCTCTGCCAAAGTTTCCGTTCTTCGTGAAAACAAAAAAACAAAACATACGTCATACATTATTTTAACTTCATTTCTTATAAAATGAGCTAATGGTGGGCTTCTATTGTATTTAGATAAAACAACTCCAAGTTGCGGAGCAGGTACTTCCGGGATACATCAGATAATTTCAATTACTTTCGTTTTTGCTGCATGGAATTTTATTTTTATTCAATAAATTCCTGTGGATCCAGAGGAAGTTGTTCTTTTGCTCGAGACACACAGAAATTCAGAGAAGATTGAAGTATTCTGTTGTTGAACTGATTTTTATGGACTCGTTTCTGACGACAACAATTGATATCAATTACCCGAAGATGCGGTAGAGATGAAAATATATAATGTTTCATCACTTTTTTCCATAGTTAGTGGTTTGTATTTTTGTAAATAATGGAGTAAATGTTCCTAACCACGCAGTTGTAAGGGGTGCAAACTTTAACCTTAACTGGAAATTACTGGATAAGGGCAGGACCCAGTACAGAGTTGCGTTATATGTGATATGTTAATAGTAGTGGGTTGTGGACTAAATGAGTTGGTTCACATTAGCCTCTTTATGCTGTTTCACTCGTGTAGGAAAAACAAAACAATGAATTGAACAAACATTAAACTTTCAGCAAACGCCACACATTGTTTTATATTCGTCCTTCTTTAAGGGAATGATTATTATGATGCTTTTATGTAGAAACTGTTGAATGCTAATGTTTAGGGTCTGCTTTTTGTTTTTTGAGTACTTATTTTTACATGAGTTACACTATAGTTAGAAATAAAGTTCTGCAAATATATTTATTCTTCTAAAAGAAATTTTAAGCATTTTTTCAATGTTTTTTCTTTGTTACGTTTGAGTTTCAACACCTTTTCCTTTGGACATTTTATGCTGAATGGCATAAATAGCTAGTCTGTAAACTGTTAGCTGTAAACTTGTCAGCGTGCACAAAAGTATTTGCAATGCATGCAAACGCGTAAAGAAATTGACGCTGTTCTATATAATTAAGAAGCATTTATGATCAACCCGCGACATTTCATAACTCTCACTCCCAACATTCCAACCTTCCGCTCTGCAACATTAACAAATAATTTTTTCCACATCCAGCTTGAAGAATGTAAAAACCATTGAAGCAACATATATTTTTTTTTATCAATATTGTTGCCAATGAGGCAACATATACTTGTAATTGAGGGGTGTCATCCCTGCATCTATATGCCTCTTTATCTTGTAATATAATATATAGAGAAAGAAAGGGGAAGGTTACCAGCAAACTTAGCCAAAAATACAATCTATTTCAACAGTCATCAATTTCACGCACGGCAGTCAATATGTCATATTTTATCTATGTTATATCCACACACTTTGTTGTTGTATTTTTTAACAACTGGAAGTAGAAACTACGCAATATCAATTATAAGTTATCAATTATCTGGGGTTAAAAGATACAACAAGGTACTCGTATATTGTACTATTAAACATCCAGATATGCATTACGCAATTGTGCGAAACAATTGATCATGCAAAAACATTCAGATGAAAAGTTAAGTTTTTTGATGAAACGTTTTATTTTTCTCAGTTTGGTTGGCTATTTCACAAAATGATAGGTATATACAACTTTATTAAGATTTTGCTGAAAACTTCTCCCACTCATTTTCCTGCTGTGTACTTTAACATTAATAATTAACATATAAGCACTCTCTCGACCCTTTGGATAGTTATTTTTTAGGATGTGTACATTAAAGAAATTTTGTAAATCAGTAATTTTGCTATAATAACTTAACATCATCAAAAACATGCAGTTTCTTGATGACTAAAATTATAGCATCATGAAACATACTCGTAAAAACCCACTTACATTATGCGTAAACATTATGTATGTAGTCTTTTCTGTTTCCATCAGCATGAAATATTTTTAAATGTAAATGGCGAATAATTGCTGCATTCAATTTCTTCTTATCTTCCAATTTCATGGTATATTGTTACACCATTAATTTTGCCTTACAAACACAGTTTCCATTAGTTTCGTCAATGTCGGGTTCACCACTTTCACATTCTGTAAAGAAAGGGAAATTTATATTTGTAATGCTTGCAAATTTGACTTCTTAATGAGCGCGGCAACTTCCCATGGTTGCTAAAGAAACTGCAAAAATAAGGTATGATTTTTGTTGAAAATCAAATTCTGTAGAGCAGATATTTAAACATTTTCTTCAAATTAGAATTTTTTATCAAAAATAGTTTTTTCCATGCCAAGGCAGCATAAAAATTTGCCTATGCAGTTAATTTTGCAATTCTTAAGTGTAGCATAACTTATCAGATTTAAAATAATGAGCGCTTAATTTGGTACTATGTGTAGATGCTCAATATCAAATATTTATGTTTAATGTATAACATGTCATATGCTTTGGAATTTCACAACCGAAAACGAATTGCAAATTAAATGTTTATAAAGGTGGACAACTGAACCCAACAATAATTCTTTGCTATTAAATGCACTTAGCTCACCTTTCCACTGGCACAAGGACATCTTAGGAATTTGTTCGCACGATGGCCGTATTCCTTAGCTGATTTAAATACGTTCCTTTGTATTGAAACAACGCCATGGACATTATCACAATACACACGAGATAGGCCAGTTTTTCTTATCTCAGACAGTTGCCTTGACTTGAAGACTCCAGGATTCTCATAGTAGAATCGATCACCATCTCGTAAACGTAAAAATTGTTCTCGTATGACACATCTTAACGTAGGACCAACGATTGCTTGAGGATAGGGAACCTCCGCAAGACCAGCTATCCATAACTCAACCAAGTCTGGGTTATCGTGATACAAACGTCTCAAAATGGCTCGATTATTTGGATCTTGTATTTCTTTGCTTGTATTATCGAAACTGCTTGCGTTTGATAAGCCACATAATACTCGAAAATGGTTGTATCCGGGCAATCCATGATCACGTGACCGCTGCAGGTTCAATGCAGCTAAGTTCTCGCCATGAAAGTCATCGCGTTCAAATAAATGCTCCGTAATTTCTTTCGATAAGACGAGGTCAACCTTTTCAGACATATTTCCAACCAAACCAAGTAAGACTGGCTCCACACCAAGAGATTTGGTGATAGTGTTATTAAAAAACATAAACCTTAGCTTCACTGCTGGTGCTAAAGGCTCAAAATTAGAATTTAGTAGATCGAATTCTGATCGTATTGTACTATGGCCAAAACGATAGGCTGCCGCTGCAAAGGAATTGAGGATACTGGGAGTCACGTCTGGATTATGTTGAGCATATGAAGGCAAGGGATTAGGGCCAAGGATTATGGGAAGGTATTCTTTGTAAACAATATGTTGAATTGTTGCTCCGACAATCTTCCTTGCTTCTTGAAAAATAGTTTCTCCATTCCAATGGTCATTCAGTTGTTTTAAAATCTTTGCAATGCGATTGTGTTCCCGTAGAAAAAGGGTATGAAACGACGTAAGGCCTTGTTGCTCGTTTGCTCGTACATCTCCTGCAAGAAAACAACCTTTGATGCACATCTCATTGTCCACTTCCTCGGGAAGTAAGTCTTTTCCATCACGTTGCGATACACGCATCAATCCTAGGTTGCCTAAAAATAATCAAATTTTATGACTCGTGGAAAATTGTGTGCATGTAATGACCCATTAATTAATGTCTTAGATCTTTTAACGTTGGCAGTCAACCTCGATGTACTTCTTGATATGCAGAACAGATATATTACTTGATGTTTAAAGAGTAGATTAAGATTTTACTTTGTCGCCAGTTTTTACAGGAAGATTTTGTTCAATGCTGTTAACAATGTAAAAATTTGAGAAATTGACCTGGTTTGTTTTGCATACTGACAATGAAGCCGACAACCCAGAACCGGTTCAAGCAAGTTGCAACACTGCATGGCTCAACAATTGAATTTTTTTAATATAAAGTGGAGTTAAAACAAAGATAAAGTTAGAGAAAAGGGAAGACGGGTGTTTACTCCTCCTAGCCTTGATTAGAAGGGTGCAAGAGGTATGCCACTTCCCCTACAAAATACTAACACGCACACAAAAAAATTTGGGAAAGCCAATTGTGAGACTTGCTTAATGTGGCACACTTGAAATATCCCAACCATAATGAAGGGTACCAAAATTTAGATAAAAACGTCTGACATGATAATGCAAAATGGTTCCGATAATCTAATCGAAAAATCTTCCTACAGAGCCATCTTAGATCCATCCCTGTGTTAAAGATCCACTAAATATGTGCTTATTCCGATAGTCAAATCTACAGACTGTGCACTTTTATGTTACATCGCATAAATATTGTAAATTTTTTGATGAATAATGCAATGTTTCGTCCTCAAACTTTTAGTCATTCTATAAATGTTGTTATTAATAACATACTCTAACTAAATAGTACACATTATCAGTGATAAAATTTTTCAATTTAGTCTAATTGTCCTCTTATTATCGTGATTTAAAATCGGGTTTCAATGGACATTTTCTGCCATGATATAAAGTTTGGGTTTAGTCAAACTTTAGCATCATCCAAGGTTGTTTGAATGTATATTTTAATTTACGAGTCCTTTTCATCACATCACAAAAATGGATTGTTCCAGACTATTCTGACTACAAACATCTCCATCATTTTTTACAAGTTTGAACCAAAAAAAATTTTGAGCAATTTGACCAAGTCAAAAATTTAAAAACGCAAGTAATCACGTTCATTTTGCGAATATATTTTTATGGAAAATGTACTTCCAATATAAAGTTTACTATTAAAAAGTTCAAAATAAAGAAAACCTACTTTTCAAATCTCTTAGACTGTTCGTTGTGTTTTCAGAAGAACCATAAATATTATTGCCATCAATCACTCCAGTTATTGCGTTGAGCTGCTCACGTTCAACGGGAAAACCTTCTGTTTGACACATAGCCGAAGATCGTACAAATCTGGTGCATGATGGCTTATTATTTTTTAGAGGAAGAATTGGGTAACAAGGATCTTGAAAATCATTGGGAGATCCATCACAACTAAAATCAATAAATTGATAATTCATTATGTCTGTTCTATTTTCTACTAAAAATATAATGGTTAATTATATTGCTTTGAAATCATTAAACGAACTTAACTTTTTTTAAGAATGGCACAGTCTCTGAAAAACATATACATTACTGCTCTATTTACAAACAAAATTTTAGCCAAAGTCTTGAGTGTGAAGTTTGCAGGAAACTATAAATAGCTATCAATTGGCATTTGCTCTTTTTCAAACTCCCATCGACAGAGGAATTTACACAATGCTTAAATAAGCGTTTCTTTTGTCAAATATAATACCAATGATTATCTTCTATTGAAATTTGCCAGAAAAATTGCATTTTGCAACTTTGATGTATAACATCTGGATAACGTTTATTCGTTTTAGTTGCTTCAGGAGTGCGTCAATATCTCTATGTTTCATCATTAAATAGCAAAATCAAACAAACCAATCATAATGAAATGTAACAGTTTGAGCAACAACAGTTATTTCATTAGTTACGTTCAGTGGTAGATTTAGAGTAGGTTAAAATAAATTATTAAGCTACATTTTGACTTCAAAATACTTTTATAATAACGCTGTTGGTTAGAAATTTCTAAAGTTTATTTAACACTAAAATACTCTCGACAGGATTGGCTCTTAAGTATTTTTAAGTGAATGGTTTAACTTCAGAGCTCACTTGGCTCTGAAGATGACTACCGCTAAGTTTGCCAAAACGTCAGTCAACATCAACAACAACAGTCCTTCTCAGGACTCTACATCTACAAATATGTAAAGTATTTTACATATTTTCAGTAATGTATTCTGACCTACTCTTGATCCGTCAATGCTTACGCTTCATTAAATCAGATTTTGCAGACTTTTATTAAAACCTGTACCTTATATTGAGACACGCTGTACTTCCTTCACCTCCTGCCGAAAGATCAAGGTCATGGTCAAGAAACTGACCAAATTGCATTAGAGCTGGTGTAAGATTTGAGTCAGCAGAAGAGGCCACTTCATCCCTAATGAAGTCATTGCTTACTTGAAAAGGCGAGGGCATTAATGGAGCATTTGGTTGATTAGGGTATCCAATAGGATCACTCAAGCCATCCACATCGTAATATTTCTAAAATAAGAAAGGATAGATTCCTTTGTTCGACATGTAAGTTGCTGATTTTACAAAACTTTACCATCATTAACAACACAAGGTTTAGAATCATTTTTTATCACTCACTTTATGATTAAGTGCATTGAGCAATAGGAGTAAGTCTCCTAATGCTAAACTTACTTAATCAGTATAAATTTCTAGGTAGGCAATATTTTATTGCTAGCTATTTAAAATTTTCAATAACTAAATCATATCATTTCATATTTTGAAAAGAGCCTTAAAAGCTTACCGCTTTCAGTAACCGAATGTATGGTGTCCCAGCTGCACCAGCAAGAGGATATTTTAAGTTGCTACATCTTCCATCTATACGACGATATTTTGCATCAGAAGAGCAATTGACAGAAGTGTAAACCTCATGGCAATCTGACTCTCTGTAAAGTAGTTTCAGGACAGACGATGAGAAAAGTTGATTAACGTGAAAGAAACCAAGTACTGCACCTTTGCCATTTTTCTTTTCTAAAAAGGTTTATTAATATTGTACTTATTAAAAAAATTATATGTAACAAGAAAAGTACCATATATTTACTTACTCCATAAAAGAAGTCATAAGTAACGCACCAAAAATGCACTGCCACTACATTACTTTACGGTAAAATATCAGTTAACCGCCCATTTTGCATGCAATCACAAATTTAGAATTTATTTTGTTTTTCATGTTTATTCAAAATTGTATCATTGTTTGCTTACCATATGCGTTTATGATCGTTGACTTGACAAGATTAATGGCTTGCTCAACTCTGGTCTTTGCTGCAGAAATACGCGAGACAGGATTGCTCGAAGGTATTTGTTTCAAGAACATGTCAAGTAACTCTGGTGTGATTTTTGCAAAGTTGCCATAACTTAAAGCAATCGATTTGGTCTCTTTTAGACCCTTCTTTACAGCATTCATAACAGGTAAGGCTAATGGATCTCCGAAGCTTAATGGAAGCACGTAAATGGTTACTTGTACAAAAGCGATTTCATTTCCAGCTTTTGCACTTATTGTGAATCTTGAATTATTGATCATATTCCGATTATTCTCGTTAACATCTATAAATAGGCTGAGTACTCCTGAACTTGAATCAATACTGAAGAAGTTTTCAAGCTTGTTTATGCTGTATTTGATTTTGGGATTAGGATATCTTACGGAGAATTTGCCAATTTCACCTTTTCTGTATTTGTCTGTTAATAAAATGACGTATCTTTCCTCAGGAAATTCCATACCTACAAATATTGTAAGATATTGTGAATATTGAAGGGAAACGTTGATAATTTGCTTCCACCTTTATGAAGGACAATTTTGTCAATAATAATATCAATATATCATTGATTAGCATGCAAAATACGACTCATGTGAGTTGCTATTTTACTTATAACAATTCTTTGTTAATTATTTATTTCACAATCACTTAATTATTTCCGTTATTGAAGGGCATAATCCAACCTTTTAGAAATATTGTTTGAGCTCATTTGGCTATTGTCCTAAATGTTTCTGAAAATATCGTTCAATTGAAAAACACAAACTTACCATTAAAGAAATAAACTTTACTCTTTTTATCAACTCCAGCTATGAGCCTGTGGCCAGCAGAAATATGCGTCAAATTTGGGGCATATATGACACGCCAGAAACGTCCTGTTGGACGCAGTGGTGTGACACCATGACGAACATACAGAATATTTTTGGAATTGATTCCATACACATTTCCATCACTGCTGACCTATAACATTTACCAAGTAAAGTATTTTTATCAATAAGCTAGCTGCCAGCATTATTTGCTTAATATTTCCTTGTTTTTTGATTATGGAAAATCGATGCAAACTTTATTTAATCAGAATATAAATGCATTTGGATGCTTATGTTATTCTTTTAACAATATACAAAGAAGCACCACTTATCCATGGGAGGATTTAGGGGGGAGGGCGAAGCGGCCGCAGCCTCCCTTTGCTAGAAAAAAACCCAAAAAAATTGAATAATAATAAAAATGGCAGGCCAAATTCAGTTTTCAAACTAATTCAAAGAGTTTGGCCCCCTCTTTCATAATCTTCTGGATCTGCCCTGTTATCAATAGTTGTAAACAAGTTTTCTAAATTCCGCTAATTCAGCCAAAAGAACAAAGATAAACGCCATGGTAAAATTTATGGTGTGCTTTTTGAACAGATTGTTTGTTTACATGTATGGGTAAAACAATTTCTTGAAAAATTGTACTGGAGTTTTGATTTTGTATTATTTTAGCATCAAAGTAGATAGTAAGTGTAACTTTATGTTTGTGCAAGCTTCAAACAAATAATTTATATCCCATACCTCAAGTTGAATGAGCAAGCCATCAACTCTTTTCCAACTTTTTCCTTCGCATTTTTCAGCATTTACTCTTGGTAGAAACCATATCGCATTCAATAGATCGAGTCCCCAGCATCCATATAAACCACATGCTACGTAGTTAAGTTT